CGTACTGCACATTCGAACTCAAATTTGGGACAAAATAGGCATTTAAAAGAAATATTGCGTCGAAAATTTGGGTCAAAATTAGTGAAAATCATTAATTTTTCTGTCTCAAAAGTCGGTGTTTTTGGCCCAAATCTTCCATATATTTAGCGTTTGAAGGTCGATTGATGTTCCTCTTGCATCCAAAGACATTTCTGAGTTGTTTGGAGAAAAGCCAATTTTTGGCCAAATTTGATCCAAAAAGTAAGGCTAACCCCTTGCAATTTTTTCAATTTTGGCCGAAAAATGAAATTGCTTGTAACTTGCAGGAAAGATGCCTGGAGGTACCTACTGCACATTCGAACTCGGATTTGGGACAAAATATGCATTTAAAAGACATATTGCGTCGATAATTAAGGTCAAAATTAGTGAAAATCATTAATTTTGTGTCACAAAAATCGGTGTTTTTGGCCCAAATCTTCCATATTAAAAGCGTTTGAATGTCGATTGATGCTCCTCTTGCATCCAAAGACATTTCTGAGTTGTTTGGAGAAAAGCCAATTTTTGGCCAAATTTGATCAAAAAAGTAAGGCTAACCCCTTGCAATTTTTTCAATTTTGGCCGAAAAATGAAATCGCTTGTAACTTGCAGGAAAGATGCCTGGAGGTAACTAGAGCACATTCGAACTCAAATTTGGGACAGAATAGTCATTTAAAAGAAATAATGCGTCGATAATTTGCGTCAAAATTAGTGAAAATCATTAATTTTTTGTCTCAAAAGTCGGTGTTTTTCGCCCAAATCTTCCATATATTTAGCGTTTGAAGGTCGATTGATGTTCCTCTTGCATCCAAAGACATTTTGGAGTTGTTTGGAGAAAAGCCAATTTTTGGCCAAATTTGATCCAAAAAGTAAGGCTAACCCCTTGCAAATTTTTCAATTTTGGTCGAAAAATGAAATTGCTTGTAACTTGCAGGAAAGATGCCTGGAGGTACCTAGAGCACATTCGAACTAGAATTTGGGACAGAATAGGCATTTAAAAGAAATATTGCGTCGATAATTTGGGTCAAAATTAGTGAAAATCTTTACTTTTTTGTCTCAAAAGTCGGGGTTTTTGACCCAAATCTCCCATATAATTAGCGTTTGAAGGTCGATTGATGTTCCTCTTGCATCCAAAGACGTTTCTGAGTTGTTTGGAGAAAAGCCATTTTTTTGCCAAATTTGATCAAAAATGTAAGGCTTACCCCTTACAATTTTTCAATTTTGGCCGAAAAATGAAATTGCTTGTAACTTGCAGGAAAGATGCCTGGAGGTACCTAGAGCACATTCGAACTAGAATTTGGGAAAAAATAGGCATTTAAAAGAAATATTAAGTCGATAATTTGGGTCAAAATTAGTGAAAATCTTTACTTTTTTGTCTCAAAAGTCGGGGTTTTGACCCAAATCTCCCATATAATTAGCGTTTGAAGGTCGATTGATGTTCCTCTTGCATCCAAAGACGTTTCTGGGTTGTTTGGAGAAAAGCCATTTTTTTGCCAAATTTGATCAAAAATGTAAGGCTTACCCCTTACAATTTTTCAATTTTGGCCGAAAAATGAAATTGCTTGTAACTTGCAGGAAAGATGCCTGGAGGTACCTACTGCACATTCGAACTGGAATTTGGGACAAAATAGGCATTTAAAAGAAATATTAAGTCGATAATTTGGGTCAAAATTAGTGAAAAGCATTAATTTTTTTGTCTCATATGTCGGTGTTTTTGGCCAAAATCTTCCACATATTTAGCGTTTGAAGGTCGATTGATGTTCCTCTTGCATCTAAAGACATTTCTGAGTTGTTTGGAGAAAAGCCAATTTTTGGCCAAATTTGATCAAAAAAGTAAGGCTAACCCCTTGCAATTTTTTCAATTTTGGCCGAAAAATGAAATTGCTTGTAACTTGCAGGAAAGATGCCTGGAGGTACCTACTGCACATTCGAACTCGGATTTGGGACAAAATATGCATTTAAAAGACATATTGCGTCGATAATTAAGGTCAAAATTAGTGAAAATCATTAATTTTGTGTCACCAAAATCGGTGTTTTTGGCCCAAATCTTCCATATTAAAAGCGTTTGAATGTCGATTGATGCTCCTCTTGCATCCAAAGACATTTCTGAGTTGTTTGGAGAAAAGCCAATTTTTGGCCAAATTTGATCAAAAAAGTAAGGCTAACCCCTTGCAATTTTTTCAATTTTGGCCGAAAAATGAAATCGCTTGTAACTTGCAGGAAAGATGCCTGGAGGTAACTAGAGCACATTCGAACTCAAATTTGGGACAGAATAGGCATTTAAAAGAAATAATGCGTCGATAATTTGCGTCAAAATTAGTGAAAATCATTAATTTTTTGTCTCAAAAGTCGGTGTTTTTCGCCCAAATCTTCCATATATTTAGCGTTTGAAGGTCGATTGATGTTCCTCTTGCATCCAAAGACATTTTGGAGTTGTTTGGAGAAAAGCCAATTTTTGGCCAAATTTGATCCAAAAAGTAAGGCTAACCCCTTGCAAATTTTTCAATTTTGGTCGAAAAATGAAATTGCTTGTAACTTGCAGGAAAGATGCCTGGAGGTACCTAGAGCACATTCGAACTAGAATTTGGGACAGAATAGGCATTTAAAAGAAATATTGCGTCGATAATTTGGGTCAAAATTAGTGAAAATCTTTACTTTTTTGTCTCAAAAGTCGGGGTTTTTGACCCAAATCTCCCATATAATTAGCGTTTGAAGGTCGATTGATGTTCCTCTTGCATCCAAAGACGTTTCTGAGTTGTTTGGAGAAAAGCCATTTTTTTGCCAAATTTGATCAAAAATGTAAGGCTTACCCCTTACAATTTTTCAATTTTGGCCGAAAAATGAAATTGCTTGTAACTTGCAGGAAAGATGCCTGGAGGTACCTAGAGCACATTCGAACTAGAATTTGGGAAAAAATAGGCATTTAAAAGAAAATAATGCGTCGATAATTTGCGTCAAAATTAGTGAAAATCATTAATTTTTTGTCTCAAAAGTCGGTATTTTTCGCCCAAATCTTCCATATATTTAGCGTTTGAAGGTCGATTGATGTTCCTCTTGCATCCAAAGACATTTTGGAGTTGTTTGGAGAAAAGCCAATTTTTGGCCAAATTTGATCCAAAAAGTAAGGCTAACCCCTTGCAAATTTTTCAATTTTGGTCGAAAAATGAAATTGCTTGTAACTTGCAGGAAAGATGCCTGGAGGTACCTAGAGCACATTCGAACTCGAATTTGGGACAGAATAGGCATTTAAAAGAAATATTGCGTCGATAATTTGGGTCAAAATTAGTGAAAAGCATTAATTTTTTTGTCTCAAAAGTCGGTGTTTTGGGCCAAAATCTTCCATATATTTAGCGTTTGAAGGTCGATTGATGTTCCTCTTGCATCTAAAGACATTTCTGAGTTGTTTGGAGAAAAGCCAATTTTTTGCCAAATTTGATCAAAAATGTAAGGCTAACCCCCTGCAATGTTTTCAATTTTGGCCGAAAAATGAAATTGCTTGTAACTTGCAGGAAAGATGCCTGGAGGTACCTACTGCACATTCGAACTGGAATTTGGGACAAAATAGGCATTTAAAAGAAATATTAAGTCGATAATTTGGGTCAAAATTAGTGAAAATCTTTACTTTTTTGTCTCAAAAGTCGGGGTTTTTGACCCAAATCTCCCATATAATTAGCGTTTGAAGGTCGATTGATGTTCCTCTTGCATCCAAAGACGTTTCTGAGTTGTTTGGAGAAAAGCCATTTTTTTGCCAAATTTGATCAAAAATGTAAGGCTAACCCCTTACAATTTTTCAATTTTGGCCGAAAAATGAAATTGCTTGTAACTTGCAGGAAAGATGCCTGGAGGTACCTACTGCACATTCGAACTGGAATTTGGGACAAAATAGGCATTTAAAAGAAATATTAAGTCGATAATTTGGGTCAAAATTAGTGAAAAGCATTAATTTTTTTTGTCTCATATGTCGGTGTTTTGGGCCAAAATCTTCCACATATTTAGCGTTTGAAGGTCGATTGATGTTCCTCTTGCATCTAAAGACATTTCTGAGTTGTTTGGAGAAAAGCCAATTTTTGGCCATTTTTGTTGAAAATGTAAGGCTAACCTCTTGCAATTTTTTCAATTTTGGTCGAAAAATGAAATTGCTTGTAACTTGCAGGAAAGATGCCTGGAGGTACCTAGAGCACATTCGAACTCGAATTTGGGACAAAATGGGCATTTAAATGAAATATTGCGTGGATAATGTGCGTCAAAATTAGTGAAAATCATAAATTTTTTGTCTCAAAAGTCGGTGTTTTTGGCCCAAATCTTCCATATATTTAGTGTTTGAAGGTCGATTGATGTTCCTCTTGCATCCAAAGACATTTCTGAGTTGTTTGGAGAAAAGCCAATTTTTGGCCAAATTTAATCAAAAATGTAAGGCTAACCCCTTGCAATTTTTTTCAAGAGCATATTCGAACTAGGAATTTCGACAGAATATGCATTTAAAAGAAAGATTGCGTCGGTAATTTGGGTCAGAATCAATGAAAATCATTAATTTTTTTGTCTCAAAAGTCGGTGTTTTTTGCCCAAATCTTCCATATATTTAGCGTTTGAAGGTTGATTGATGTTTCTCCTGCATCCAAAGTCATTGCTGAGTTGTTTGGAGAAAGGCAATTTTTGGCCAAATTTGATCAAAAATGTAAGGCTAACCCCTTGCAATTTTTTCAACTTTGACCGAAAAATGAAATTGCTTGAAACGTGCAGGAAAGATGCCTGAAGGTACCTACAGCAAATTCGAACTAGAATTTTGGACAGAACAGGCATTGAAAAGAAAGATTGCGTCGATAATTTGGGTCAAAATTAGTGAAAATCATTAATTTTTGTCTCGTCCTGTTGTAAATCTTTTGTCTTAATTTAATTCCTAGCTCATGTTAAACTATTTTTATTTTTGTAACTCTGTCTTGTAATTTTGTTAACTTTCCTGTCAAAATGTAATTTGTAAGTTCTCTTTTGCCTCAGCAGAGGTCGTAGAGGGAAGTCAAATTCATTGTCATTTTCATTGTTTTGGACAAAAATACAATAAATTGATCATCGACCTATTAAAATATAAATGATGGCGACAGATGTTTGGCCGGTTGGTCCATGAGGCAACAAAGCTTTTTGATTGGAGTGATCGCAAGACAAAGTTTCATCCTCTTGAGACTAAATATAATTATGTCCCTTCATACATCGGTGGGGCAGATGTCAATGCCTGGTTCCACCCGTCTCAGTAGGGGTAAGAGGAGCATTTGTACAGCACAGATGAAGCATATTGCGCTACCCACGTAGAAGACTGTGGGATAACTACCTGCGCCCGCAGTCATGTCCAGAATCCAACCTGGTGGTAGAAAAAGAGAAAATTCTACTGGCAAATGATGCTCTTTCCCCCATGAAATATGCCAGGATGCCTGTGGTCAATAGCTTAAAAGTAAACAAAAATTTAAAGACAATTCCACCCATTCTACTGTCGATACTGAAAATATATTCTGAAAATTACTTAAGATGGCGTCCCGAGTGGTTTTCTCCAACTTTCACTCGAAAGGTAACACACTGAGTATAAAGTGTTTAAACGTCGGTGAAGGGCACAGCTTAATTTGATTGATATCACCCCGACGTAAAATTCCATCTTAAAAAATAGTTTATGCAGTACCCGCTGCTTTGTACATCGGATTCGAATCAGCCAACCGATCCTGTTAGCTCGGTGGTCGAGTGGTAAGACATCTGCACTAGAAAGCAGGCGGTCGTGGGTTCGAGTCCCACCGAATAGTTTTTTCCATCTTTCACTCGGGAGGTAAAACACTGAGTATACAGTGCTTAAACGTCAGTGAAGGGCAAAACCTAATTTGATTTATATCACCCCGACGCAAAATTCCATCTTAAAAAAAAAACCCAAGATGGCATCAGCAGTCCGATAGTATGTCATTAGATGAGAAATCACGATTTTCACGTTGGTATCAACTATCTGCCGTTTGTGATTTTGTTGGTGATTTATAGTTTGCAGTTCAGACAGTACCAATGCCAAACATCCCTCAACATAGGACTCTCCACAATTTCGTTGTATGGTAAATATGGTTGTCCATGAATCCAGAAATCTCGCCCGTTTGGAAAATTGTTTTGCCCTTCCCTGAATTGATTTCGTACGCAATGTGCGTATATACTGAAGGAAAATTACAACAGAATAGTTTGTACTTACCTGCAAAGACCGGCCCAATAAGAGACCCGACGCCAACCAAAATCTGGTAGAGTCCAAGGCCAATGGCTAAATTTCTCACGCCGACAAAATATCGGACTAAAACGACCACGATAGCGAAGCAGAAACCCGAAGCAAATCCATACAGAAACGAAGCTATCGCCAAAATGTAATAGCTCTCCAAGTTCATGAGCAGTAAGGACACGCCAGAAATTACCATGGAGATGGCGGTCACGTGCTCGACCGATATCTTCCAGCTCACCAGCAGTCCGTTGCCAAGACGACCGAGCAAGCTCCCGATGCCAACAATACTGAGCAAGATGGCGGCGCTGTAGGGCGCCACACCCACGCTCTGTGCGCGGGGAACGAGGTAGACAATAAATCCCATGTACGCAGTTACGTACTGTATTTCAATGAAGCACATCAGAGCGAAGCGATAGCTCTTTACAAAAAGATGAAACCCCAGAGAAACTGCTAATTTTTTTAGTAAGTTCACTACGGCATTGGGGTTCTTTGTGTCAGTTGTGAGTGAGACCTCAGCCGTCTGGTGGTTGAGAGTCGTCTCAAGTTCTAAATGCATTGGTTCGAGTTCGTGAACATCATCATCATGGCAAGAGTCTCCGTTACTAGCTTGGTCATCATTGGATGCCGGTCGACTCATGGAATTTCGCCAAGTCCGGTTCGCACGGAAAAGTGCACCAAACGCTACGCAGTTTGCCGCAATCGCAGAGACGATCAGAAACGCCCCTCGCCAACCGTATCTTTCCACCAGAAGTTGCAACAAAGGCGGAACCAACATGAGCCCGGTTCCATTCCCCGCGGAGGCCACCGCGTGGGCTGTCTTGTATTTCCTCTTGAAGTGCATCGCCACGGCTACTAAAGCTGAATTATAGCAAATCCCGTTGCCAACTCCTACAGGGATTGAGAAAGATATTATGAAGGAAAAAATATAATTACTATTTAAAAACTGTCATACGTCAGCAGTCAGAAAGTTGAGGTTTGGTTGTCGTGTGCATTCATGATTGCCCAGCTATCAAGACGTTTAATCTTAATGCACGCAGCACGTTTTGGCTAAATTGTGGAAATTGAAACTTTGCAAGTAGGTAGATGCTGCGATTGCGTTCCATTATTTTGATAGCACATACCGACTATTGAAATTGTGATGTACAGCTGGTATATATCAGTAACCCAGTAGCTACAGAGAAGACCAATGAACGTCAACATTCCTCCGACCATTTCTGAGACTCTGCAGCCGAAACGTTTGGTCAGAACCCCTCCAAGGAGACCTGCAAAGAAATAGAGTGGAAAGAGAAAAATAAAGAAGATGGTGAGAGAGAAAACACCAAATTAAACGGGGATGTGTGCGAAGTTCTGTGATTCCATTGGACATGGTGGGGTTCTGATTTTTTTTTTAAAGGACGACGACATTTAAAGTCAAGATGACAACATCCTGAGATTTTTAATCACACGAGACCCACATTCTTGTCGTCATCCCATGATGAATCAAAACCAGATATCGACATCCTTCTTTCTGGATGACGTCATTGCGCGTTAATTTATCTCAGGAAGTCGACCTCCTTCTTTCAAAATGCCGTATTTATTTCTCAGGATGTACACATATTGACTATAAAATATCGTCATTCTAAGGTATTCTTATTTGAATTATTTTCATTATTTATTTAGCCATTCTTACAACATTAAAAGAAAGGCACGGAACAACAAAAGTACAAGTACTGTGGTCAAACATAATCAAAAGACATACAAAAATATAAGAATGGCGAAGAATGATAAACAAAAATGAGAGAAAACAACACTGAATTTAGACGAAACAAACCCAAAAAACTATACGAAAGAGAAAAAACGGCTAGAGTTACATAAGGACATATTGATGAAAAATGCGATGAGTTAACAAAAAAATTATACAATGAAATTAAAAAGGTTAATACAAAGGAGAGACAAAGGAAATTAAAAAAATAATAACTAATAAAGTGAAAAATTAATAAATAATTACGGCTGGACCTTACCTAGTTAGATGGCACCTCCAGAACTCCGTAGTTAAGATTTCATATACGAGACAACATCTTGTAATATGTGTATCAGGAGTGTGTATAACTAGAACAGGATGAACATTTACCAGAGAAACTTCCCACGGAAGACAAGATGCTCTGAACGGCCGCCGTTTCTTTGTCGTTGATCTCGAAGTCGTCCTTCCAGCTCAGGTACAGGACGCCTCCGCACCGCATGAGACCTGTCTGGATTGCGAGGGACAGGTGAGCGGCGATGACCACCACGATACTCCAGCCGCCTTCCCGTGGAACATCGGGCTGAGCCTCCGCTGCATGTCTATTTCGCACGTTAGACGCTCTTGGCATATTGGATCGACTGTTTAGTACTAGTCGATCAACACAAAAAGGCCACGACATCGGATTACTATTATTGTTAACACGACTAGCATCTGGAAGTTATATCATTTTAGATGGACAGCAGTCCTCTGGGACCGACCGATCGACTTGTCATCCGAACGACCGTTCGACAGACCGACAGAATGACCGACCAACCGACCGACCTACCGACCGACCGACCGACTGAACGAACGACAGAGGGACGGACCGAGTTACTTTCGAGTCCAGTTCGTCCGGTCAAGTCTAGTCAAATTAGTCAATTCTCGCACTGAGTATTAAACAAAGCTTGAATTCTGCCACAAGTGAATTGAATGAAAAACAGATGTGAAAGACATGTACCATTGACGCTCCAAGTACGGACAATAACGAGCAAAGATTTCCCCAAAGATGCAGACGAGCACTGACTTCCCCAATTGCCACAGACTGCTTCTGCCACAGTTCCATTAATTGAAGGTATTTTTTTTGAATCGAAGGTTTTTTTTATTGTTCGTACCATTCTTGCAGTCCGAAGACTGAATTGCGATGGTTTACAATTTACAATTTAACAGAAATCATTTTAAAAAGACGGCATTTATACATATGTTCGACATTGAAATATTCTAAAAAGACCATTAGTACACTTACCGATAATGTCAAAGACCTATATGGTACGTAAATTATATAATTCCTCTCTGAACTGCTAGGATGCAAGATCATGTGTTTGAACTTGACAGCAAACAGCTGGTGAGCATAGGCCTTAAGATTATGGTTAACAGTGTAAGTTTTGTACAATATATTCTGCGTTTGGGCACGCACTGTTTTCTCATCAGTGGTCGATCTGTGTCTCATACCAACCTTCGACTGCTAAGTCGAGCTTTGCTCAGTAGATATAATAATGACATGATAAGCGTGGGTACAAGTGAGTACTCGGGGGAGTAGTTGACAATGCATATAGATAATCTGTTGTTCGGGTGCAAACCCTATACATGCACAGGGAGCCGAAAACGGCACCGTAGACGAAAATTATAATTTTTTTCAGTGTGTCAGGAAGCTTGTGTTTACATTTGATAATTTTATTTTTTCATTACGGGTTTGAGTGGTATAGAGCGTGAAAGTTGACCCCGAAAACATACGTGAGCTAACGAGAAACCAAACTTCCGGGCACCTTCAATATGAGCTTCAACGTGTGAAGGGAGTAGTTTTCTTGAAAAAGTTTAGTGACGCTGTTTCCTTTTTACTGAAAGGCAGATAAAAACTTTCAAAAGCAAGCACGTTTTTTGTTATTTCGGCTTACAATATGGTCAAAACAGTTAATAAAGTAATGATTTTGATAATACATGTACAAATATTTATTACAAAACTGTTATTCCTACATCTTACATACGACCCAAAGTGTCACTAAAAACGTTCAGATTAATCGGGAAAAATAACTTTCTGGCCTGCCAGTATAAACATTATACATTTTTGATAAAAGAAATAAAACAATTTCAATGATTAGCGATCTTCAACAACTGTATTGATGGTAATTTATGCCGCTTGATATTTATTCTTTTCTCTTTTTTTTGAATAAATTACAGTTCGGTTTTTTTTGCACATCAATAATGTGGTCATTGTGTGGCGTTGGAAACAAAAGTATAATTCCACAAATATTACGGTCCCCTGATCGTCAGGCCATGAAATCTGCTTTTATCCAGTTGATCAAGTTCAACTTAGCCGTAAACTTTGCCTGTCCTTTCATACATCGGTAGGGCTGATTTCGATGCCTGGTTCTATCCGTCTCAGTAGGGGTAAGAGGAGCATTTGTACGGCACAGATGAAGCATATTGCGCTCTCCACGTAGTAGACAGTCTGATAGCTATCATCGGTTAGGTCAAGGATCCACCCTGCGTACGTGAGGTTTAAAAAACAAAAACATGAAGAAAAAAAAGAATCCTTTTTTTTCAGCGCCACTACGTTGATAAAGGGCGACACAACACGAATGACACAAGGCCAAACATAAGACACTGATAGAGAAACAACTTTAATCAGATACATGTAGAAATACACAAGGAGAAAACAAAATGGCTGCTCCGATGGGATAAAAGTAACAGGGCGCTATAAACAATTGGCGAAGGAGCCTTGAAACAAACTTACCCGCTACAACAGGGCCAGTTACAGCTCCAATGCCCAGGAAGATCTGGCTGAATCCAACTCCAACAGCTAATTTCCTCACGCCGACACACTGCCGAATTAAAACGAACCCGATGGCGAAATAGACACCCGACACGAATCCATATAGAAACGAAGCTATTGCGAAAAGAGAAAACCTTTCAGAGATCATGATCAGTAAGGACACCCCAGCAATTACCATGGTGATGGCGGACACGTGCTCGGCCGATATCTTCCAACTCACCAACAATCCGCTTCCAAGACGACCGAGCAAGTTCCCGATGCCAAAAATACTGAGCAAGATGACGGCGCTGGAGGGCGCCACACCCACGCTCTGTGCGCGGGGAACGAGGTAGAGCACGAATCCAATGTACGTGATGTTAAACTGCAGCTGAATGGCGCACAGCAGAACGAAGCGGTAGCTTTTCACAAACAGATGGAACCCAAAACGGACTGCTAATCTCTTGAGTAATCTAAGAATGGGATTTGCATTCTTTGTGTCCAATACGAGTGAGACATTACCCATGTTGCTGTTGGGTGTTTCCCCATGTTCTGCAGCTTGGCCTAAGCCACCACTATGACCAGAGTTGTCGTCGCTATTCTGCTCACCCTTAGCCAGGTTTTGCTGACTTGAATGAGGACCCCCCTTGGACTTCTGTTTGGTTCCGTTTGGGCGGAAGAGTGCGCTAAATGTGACAATGTTTGCCGCAACTGCAGAGGCGATCACAAACGTCCCTCGCCAACCAAAGCTTTGCAAAACCATTTGGAACAACGGCGGAGCCGCCATGATGCCCGTTCCTTCGCCAGAGATGGCTACCGCGTGGGCTAGCTTGTATTTTCTTTTGAAGTACATCGCGACGACAACCACAACCGGATTCGAAGCTATCCCTATCCCTATTCCTAGGATATAAAAAAAATTAACATCACACACAAATCCAAATCTGCAAGCAATTATAATTAAGAAAACAAAGGTTTCATAAAGATTTATGTATTAAAGCATTGACAAAGGGTTTACTGAGGCCTTAATCATGAAATCATTGCCTCCTGTAACTCCGCTTCAATGCACGAATTTGTTCGTCCCCACCGACCTCTGTTTTCTCTGAGCTCTTGTATGGCTTTACGGTCGAAGATAGACACACAAAGGGAGAATAAAGATCCTTTCAGTCCTCGAACGTTGGGTCTTTTGTTAAAAGCGGTCCTCAATCGTACGGTTATGCGCTTAGTCTATGGGAGAGTGTTATAATACAGAGACAAAGGGAAACACAAAGCATTGTCCTCGAGCGTTTAGAAATTCACGACTAAACATGTATACGAAAGTTCAAATCGTGGACCTTGAACAATAGAGGAAAATAGGGTCCACGATTGACAAAATGTCCACGATTGAGATTTGTGTACAAAACCAATGAGAGCTGTTGCTAAAAAGTACAAACAAAAGAAGGACAATAGGGGGTCCACGATTAAATGTGTTGATACACAGGACAAAATGAGAAGTTACAGTGATGCTTCTGTTGACACAGGACAAAATGAAGAGTTATAATGCTAATTGTGTGTGTGAGTTTGTTTCTGCATTCATAGGGGACGTTGAACAAAAGGGGATAATAGGGTTCCCAATTCCCGAGAGGTCCCCAATTGGATTCGTGTACAAAACATATGGGAGGTCTTCCTAAATTGTATTTTGTATGTGAACTAAGCTGTATGAGCGAAATGACGAACTCGGATTGTTTACTTTCAAATAAGTTAAATGAAAGCACACTACCGATTATCGAAGCTGTGATGTAGAGTTGGTATATATCAGTCACCCAGTAGGTACAGAGATGACCAAGAAACGTCAAAACTCCTCCGACGATTCCTGTGACTCTGCAGCCAAAACGTTCCGTCAAAATCCCGCCAAGGAGACCTTCGAAGGTTTTGTAAGAGAAGAAAAAAAATGAAAAGATTCAAGTAGAGCAGAATAAAGACTATGTGGGTACATAGACACCATGACTAAACTGCGCATGTCTACGTCCACAAAATCTAAATGTCAAAGGGTAAAATAGAGCGACAAAACTGTACAAGAGACAAAATCTCATAACACCGATGCGTGTAGAATCTCAAATAATCCTATCATCGGTTAAAATAGGCGAAGCTACATATCAAAGGTATTAAAATGACGTATAGAATATAACATGTTTGATTTAGGTTGGGGTTAGGGTAAGAACTCGCGACCGGGGAACATATAGGGACAGCGGAACAGGGACTGGGGAACATAGGGACCGGGGAACATAGGGACTGTGGAACATAGGGACCGGGGAACATCGGGACCGGGGAATATCGGGACCGGGGAACATAGGGACTGGGGAACATCGGGACCGGGGAACATCGGGACCGGGGAACATAGGGACTGCGAAACATAGGGACTGGGGAACATAGGGACTGGGGAACATCGGGACCGGGGAACATCGGGACCGGGGAACATAGGGACTGGGGAACATAGGGACTGGGGAACATCGGGACCGGGGAACATAGGGACCGGGGAACATAGGGACTGGGGAACATAGGGACTGGGGAACATAGGGACTGGGGAACATAGGGACTGGGGAACATCGGGACCGGGGAACATAGGGACCGGGGAACATAGGGACTGGGAAACATTGGGACTGGGGAACATAGGGACTGGGGAACATAGGGACCAGGGAACATAGGGATCGGGGAACATAGGGACCGGGGAACATAGGGACTGGGGAACATAAAGACTGAGGAACATAGGGACTAGGGAACATAGGGACTGGGGAACATAGGGAGCAGGGAACATAGGGAGCAGGGAACATAGGGACCGGTAACATAGGGACTGGGGAATATAGGGACTGGGGAATATGGGGACCGGGGAACACCGGGGAACATAGGGGCCGGGGAACATAGGGACCGGGGAACATAGGGACTGGGGAACATATAGGGACCGGGGAAAATAAGGACTAGGGAACATAGAGACCGGGGAACATAAGGACTAGGGAACATAGAGACTGGGGAACATAGGGACTGGGGAACATATAGGACCGGGGAACATAGGGACTGGGGAACATAAAGACTGGGGAACATAGGGACAGGGGAACATAGGGACAGGGGAACATATAGGGACCGGGGAGCATAGGGACTGGGGAACATAGAGACCGGGGAACATAGGGACTGGGGAACACAGGGACCAGGGAACATAGGGACTGGGGAACATGGGTACGTACCCATTGAATACGTCATTAGGAATTTGGATGCCCATGGATTTCAATTAAGCTACCGGCTGTCTTTACCAGATAAATATGCAGACCTAGTACATGGTGAGGAATTACCATACCGGAGAAACACGACACGGAAGAAAAGACGCTCTGAACGGCCGCCGTCTCTCTGTCGTTGGTGCTGAAATCTTCCTTCCAGCTAAGGTACAAGACGCCTGGGCTCCGTAGAAGACCATTCTGGATTGCGAAGGACAGGTGAGCGGCGATGACCACCACTATACCCCAACCGCCTTCCCGTGGGTCATCGGGTTGAGTCTCCGCTCCACGCCTGGTCCGCAAGGTGGAAGACATTGCTATATTCTACAAGCCGTCTGGACTGGAGGAGATTAAAGTGTCAGTGTTATTGATATGAAGTCTTTACGTTGAAACACGCAGTGGCACTGAAGCATGTGTTCCAGCGGCTTTCACCCGAAAGCAGTAACCTCGGCCATGACAATGGTGGCAAAGTTATATGCTTGCCAGGTTTTATTTCATTCGATCTTTCAATATGGGCAATTGTTCACATTTTTCCCCTGAAGGTTTTTCTTTTCATTGAAAAGTTTCATTGACGTTGCAAGCATTCTGTACTCAACCTTTTTAAGCAAAGGAAAATTGAAACCAGTCATGCTCCAATGCTCCATGCTCCAAACTATTCATGCTTTAAAATTACCCTCTGCAAGTTTTTTTTCCTCATAAAAACTCTGTAGACCAATAAATCATTGCCTGTAGCCCCAAACTCTACCGATCATAAACATAAAGATATATTTGATCTTTTACTCTTTTATATTTGCCTTTCCCTGTAACAAACAAATAACACTGCAAATATATCGAGAGCCACATCGTTTGTTGAGTTAGCCTATCATATTTTTATGAACAGAAACTCATCCGCTTCCAATGGAACAATTTGTTTTGACTTAAAAAAAACAAAAGCATAAAACCTTTTATACGTTTCAGTATACTACCAGTATATTTCATCACAGTGCATCCCGAATCCAACATTTTCCGGGGCCTTTAAAAAAGGCCCTAGGGCCCCACGCCGTAAGGGCTCGCGAAAATAAAACAAAACATACACGACGGAATTTACTAAATGTAAGAAAGCCAATAATATTTACATGCGATGTCATTCGTAATGATACAATTCTTTTTCCAGAATTAAATGGAACCAAAAATGGAGATATACTTACGAATACAGGGTTCTCCAACAGTATATTCTAAACAAAATAATGAAATAAATTGTCTTTATAATCTCAAAAACTTTTGCTTAAAAAGTCAAATGAAAGTGGCCAGGAATTGCCTCAGATTGCACCACAGAGCATCCTTATTCCAAATTGAGCCACGACGTAAAAGGGCTTTGCGCTCCGCTTTCTTAGCAATTTTGTCCGTCCTTTAGAAATTCCAGCACCCCCTGGCAAAGTTTATTCCAGCGGCAGTGGCAGCTAGTAACTAAAAAGCATACACTGTTTGGCTACAATGTTTTGTAAAACGGTCACACATAAAAAATACTTTTTTGTTGTTGTTTTTAATTGTAGGAAGCGTTAAACGGTTAGGCCAAAAAAAAAAGTCTCCGGTTTCTGGTATGGAGCTTGCCCAAAAAGTGGTGCGGCGACGCGGCTTTTTTTTTTTTTTTACCTGACTTTTTTGCTTCAAATGTCGGCTGATGACTGCAAATGGTGCCCGACTAAACTTAGTGCAAAATGTACGGGAGTCCAGAGAGTCCACATAAAGCTTATTCTCGATCATACCCCCATCTAAAAACACGTTTAAACTGTGCTGCAGCAGAATTCCAGTCAAACCAGTGAGTTTGGCGGTTTTGAGACATCATTTTTTATTGAAAAAAATCTTTTTCATTTTGCCGACGCGCATGGCTACGTCGACGCGCGCGCATACCAGAAACCGGAGACTTTTTTTTTGGCCTTAGTTGCTTTAATTTTAGAGTGTTGTTTTACAAAATCATGACAATGACAAAACGGTCAATAGTCTAGCCGACCACTTTTTGATTTAGGTTCGGCAATTAAGCAATTCACCTAGGAATGTTAACTTCGGCGTCCTTGGGATCGAGTCATTGCCTGTGTCCTCCTTACATTTCGTTCTCACGACCAGTGGCGTCGCCAAGGGGGGGCCAGGGGGGGGGGGGGGCACGTGCCCCCCTGGAAAACCTAGTGCCCCCCGAGTGCCCCCCCCCCCCATCAAATGCTGGTGCCCCCCTATCCTCTGCAAAATTCTGCGCGTTGTTAAAATCATTACCTCAAAAATAGCAATTTCTGGAGATATCTTCAGATCGAATTTAGCATCAAATATGGCACCATTTTGCATCTAGCCCATCCTCCGTATGCGAAAATTTTCCAAAGGGGAGGGGGGGGTGCCCCCTGCCCTTAGACCCCTCCCCCAGGACGGCGATCCGTATCCACCTAAGTGCCCCCCCCCCCCCATCAAATGCTGGTGGCCCCCTATCCTCTGCAAAATTCTGCACGTTGTTAAAATCATTACCTCAAAAATAGCAATTTCTGGAGATATCTTCAGATCGAATTTAGCATCAAATGTGGCACCATTTTGCATCTAGCCCATCCTCCGTATGCGAAAATTTTCCAAAGGGGAGGGGGGCACCCCCTCCCCTTAGACCCCTTCCCCCTTGGACGGCGATCCGTATCCATCTAAGTGCCCCCCCCCCCCCCATCAAATGCTGGTGCCCCCCTGTGCCCCCCAGACTGAAAAGTCTGGTGACGCCACTGCTCACGACAGAATTTGCGAATTGGCTATTGAAGAGTCGCGTTGACTTGAACTCCGATTTCCTTCAAAATATCTGCAACTTCTTCAAGTTCAAACGTCTTACCATCCTGTATCCATTGTGAAAAGTATCGTACTCCCTTGAAGTTTCCCAGCCCCATTTTTGCTTGCAACTCTTTAAGCCCCACCAACTGAATCGCATGCGAAGGGGGTCAGCCGGTCCGCACCAGGAATCATCACACCACGCATTAATTATGCCGAGCCAACACTTCTTCGTGTAAAGCATGGTCCCCCTCCATCCCCTTGCCCACCGCCACAAAATGCACCACGGACTGTTAACTATGACACTGAAATAAAAAAAACAACTGTATTCAATACTAACCGTTTTGCTGTTTTCAAAGTTATTTGTGTAAAACTGTAAAACAAAAATCATTGATCGTTATGCTATAATGAATTTTACTAAACTTATAAAACGGAGAAACCGTATTTATCTTAATACCGCTTGTCGTTTTATCAAACTGTAAAACGACAAAACGGTCGATGGTTCGTTTACTGTTTTTGTTTTGGAGGAAATCTAAAACGGTAAAACGAAATAACGGTATGTCCCGGGATTTGTAACCCTGCGCAGCGTTTACAAGAAATGTGTATTCGAAGGAGCCACCTGCGTACACTTTGTACGTAGGTACTTCCCCCACAACCTCGTCCCCAGCGTGTCAAGCAGTACGCGCCCACCACTACCTGCTCTCTCACCCTGGTATTGGATCATTTGCATGTGCAAGATTCTTGAACACGTATGCAAATGAGGAACAGTCTGGTGCCTGGATATGCGTTACACATTTCCTATCCAGGGTTAACTATTGGAAACGCGGTTGGAAATAAAGTAAGCACTGGGGACGAGGTTGCTTCCCCCACTACGCGAGACCCTATCCATGTCCAAACAACACAAAAACATGTGCCAGACCCTCTGCAGGCAGTTGCCAGACAGGGGACTTAAAAGATAAATGAGTAATGTCTGCGGTTTCTGGCTATGAGGGGAGATGAGTCGGGTCACAGGTGACGAGTGACAGATATGCTTCAAGGTTGACTTGGCAGGAGGCTTGGCGGAAATAATTTTGTTACAACTCGGGTGAAGCCCGGGCTGCAAAGTTCATTGAACCAGCTGATTTGGCAAGGGTTGAATGAGGATTAGATGGAAGGTGAACGTCATTGGCCCTAATTTTTTTTTTCTTCAAAAAATTCGGTCACCTCCGTACAAAATGTACGGAGGTCACTCTGCGCAGATTAAAATATATAATAAACTACATGTGCATGAGCAAATTCCACATTGTGCCCAATTAAATTTGGGACTGTCAAATTTATAGTTGGGACTGTAGCTATACCGCTGGGGCGTAACATCTTCAATAAATAAACTGCATGCGACGGTCACACACTGTTTAACTCAAGGAACATGGTCCCCGCAACATTTCCGGTCATAATATTACCCAGAATTATACGAGGAAAGATTAGCACCTTCGCTTCTGACGTGCACCTTTCATGACGAGTCACAGACAGCTTCAACCACAGTGTATAGAAAATATGTTTAGTGCTTACCAATGTGTCTCAGACACTCCACTGCAATGATCATTCACTATCGATACGCCGATGTGATAATTCCCTACCAGTAGGCCTTCGTACCAACATTCAATATTGAAATTGGAACAGTTGTAGAAAGGTCAGGTACTCCATTTTGTTTTAATCCGTGACGTGACCTACATGACCTTGCAATCACATGAAATGCAAACAATGCCAAATTTCAGCTCGTTTATGTTCAAAGTCCTTGACACTACAGATCCACTGAGTGATGATCAAGCGCCAGCTAAATGCATGCAGAGTCCAGGCGCAGATCCAGGGGGAGGGGGATTGGGGGTCGGCGAGTTACTGCTCTCGCTGGAGGGCGCCACACCCACTTCTCAACTCATTAAGGGTTCAAAGTCCAGTTAGTGATGAACAAGCGCCAGCAAGTAGCTGAGGCCATTATTATGCATCACGCACAACCAAAATTCTCCGAAGGTCACTAGTTTTTTTTTATTTGCATAATAAAAATGGCGCCCTCTACTGATCAGGATTGGAAAACCGTGTACATTTTCAGTGAGAATAGACTGCTTATTGCTGTTGCTTGCTAATGAGAGACTCTACAGTGATACGATTCGAATAAGGGGAATTTAGGATGACTGTTAATGCCCCAAAACGACAGTTAAGCTGTTTAAATAAGTAATATCAAATTTCACTTGCAACTGAAATTCAGTCACCTTTCACCAAGCCTCAGTTCAAATGTTCCCTCCTTTTGTTCTTATTTTCATTTAGTTTATTGCCCTTATTTTGAACTTCCAATATAAACAGCCAATCGCAAAAAAAAAAAACATCGTAAAAGAAATACAAATTTAATAGTAATATTAAAAAGGGCAATTTATGTTAAACCCGCTAATCAGGGTCTCGTGATTTTGTCCTCTTTCCAAAATTCAAATTGTTCCGTCAGATATCGTTGGGGCTGATGTCGATGCCTGGTTCCACCCGTCTCAGTAGGGGTAGGAGGAGCATTTGTACAGCACAGATGAAGCACACTGCACTACCCACGTAGAAAACTGTCTGATAGCTATCACCGGTTAGGTCCAGAATCCATCCTACGAAGGTTAAAATAAAGATCATTATTTATACTTGTAAGGGTCGGGCAAAATCCCACATTTTCAGACAGCTTGAACTCAAGAACTCAAACTCACCCGCTAAAAGGGGCCCACTTATTGCTCCTATGCCCAAGAAGATCTGGCTGAATCCAAGTCCAACTGCTAATTTTCTTACCCCGACAAACTGCCGGGTTAAAACGATCATGATGGCGAAAAAGAACCCCGACACGAATCCAAATAGAAACGAAGCTATCGCAAAAACGTAATAGCTTTCCAATTTCAGGAGCAGTAAGGACACGCCCGCAATGGCCATGGAGATGGCGGTCACGTGCTCAGCCGATATCCTCCAGCTCACCAGCAATCCGCTTCCAAGACGACCGAGCAAGTTCCCGATGCCAAAAATACTGAGCAAGATGACGGCGCTAGAGGGCGCCACACCCACGCTCTGTGCGCGGGGAACGAGGTAGAGCACGAATCCCAGGAACGGGATGTCGAACTCCAGGTAAACGGCGCACAGCAGAACGAAGCGGTAGCTTTTCACAAACAGATGGAACCCCAGCGAAACTAATAATCGTTTGAGTAGTTTTAAAATGGGATTCGAGTTCTTGGTGTCAAATGTGAGCGAGACATAACCAGTTTTGCTGTTGGCAGTTGTCCCATGTTCCGTAGGTAGGCCTATCTGTTCAAGTTCGAGTACATCGTCACTACGGCGAGAGTTTTCGTCGTTAATGTGTTCATCATTGGACATGTTTGCTGTCTCCAAACCGTTTTTGGCCGCCAGGTTTTGTTGATTCGAATTGAGATTGTCTTTGGATTTCTGTGTTGCTCCGTTGGGGCGAAATAGTGCGCAAAATGCAACACTGTTTGCTGCAACTGCAGAGGCAATCAGAAGCGTTCCTCTCCATCCAAAGCTTTCCAAAAGAATTTGGAGAAGAGGCGGAGCCGCCATGATGCCCGTTCCTTCGCCTGAGATGGCTAATGCATGGGCTATTTTGTATTTCCTTTTGAAGTACATCGCAACGACAACCACAGCTGAATTAGAAGAAATCCCTGTTCCTGCTCCTATATGAAAATGAAAAAAAAGGGAAAAGAAATAACAACAACACAAATATAAATTTGCAAAATGAGAAAACAAAACACTTTCACGAAGATCGTGATTTCATGTAACAATGCATTCACAAAAAGTTTGCTCAAATTAATTAAGTGGCACACGCATTAACGCACGCATTCGTCTGTCCCCAACGCCCAGTACAAGAGTGTGAGATCTCTCATTTAATCAGCACTCATCTGATATATTTTTGAAATCTTGATGGCGATTTATGTCTGTTTTCTTTTCAAACTTTTTGTTCATTCATGGAGGTGGGAAAAAGTCCATGTTTCGCGTTGTATTTAACAGGTATTTGTCAGTTTAACTGTAAATGACTAATGGTGGACAGCTGAATCGTGTGATCTTTTTTCTTTATTAAAATAGACATAACTTGGAAATATACTTTATCCCTTTGCTATTTAATATTAATTCCAATTCGGTATTTTTCTAAGAAATCAGAGGTCGCGCTTCCATATTCAAATGAGGCAAAGGAAATTGAATTACCGATTATGAAAAAAGTGAAGTACAGTTGATAAAAATCAGTCACCCAGTAGCTACTGAGCAAACCTAGCGTCATCAAAATTCCCCCGGCCATTCCTGAAATTCTGCAGCCGAAACGTTCCGTCAGAATCCCTCCGAGGAAAACTGAAAGAGTTTTAAAAGAGCACCAAAAAAATTAATTAATAAATATGCACTAATAATAGTAATACTTATCATTATTAGGGGGGAAATGTGACAGCGCCAAAAAAAAAAAAAGAATCGATCAAAAGAAAAAATCAGAAAAATGCCATGAAGTTGTCAAAGGAAGGGTGTGGTTTGGAATTAGAACTACGTCAGAACATGCATGGCCACTATGACTGAACTGCCCATGTCGACACAGAAAAATAAAAGAGCAAGAGAAAAATATTTAATTTGAATTTATTGAATTGAAAATAGAGCGATGCAATTGCACAAGAGATAGCATTTCATGACACCAATGGGGGTAGGAGCTAACATGATCGAGTTCATCGATAAATATACATATAGCATACAAACACCTTTAATTGATGAAATAGCTCTTTCAGAATTTTGATGCATATACATGTACATTTAAAATATGGTATCTTTAGCATAAGTATTTATGTTAGTGGGGCAGATAGGGGAAATATTTAGGCGAATTGTGCCTTTGCTGGTACAATCATGGCATTAGGCACACAGTCAGAGTATGTGTTACGAAAGATATTTGGCTATAGGACCGTGGTAGATTTGTCCTTTGAATTAAGAATAACAAGCAATTTTCAAAATTGTATAAAATGGCTGCCATTGCTTGTTATTCTACCTGCATTTTTTAACAGGACAAATCTGCGATAGCCCGATAGCTAAATATCTTTCTTGTGACATACTCTGACTCTGTGCCAAATGCATGATTGTATTATCAAAGGCACATTCCCATTACCTATCTGCCGTACTCTCCAGGCCTACAACAGAGTAAGGAATACTGTACCACTGAAACAGGACACGGAAGAAAAGACGCTCTGAACGGCCGCCGTCTCTCTGTCGTTGGTGCCAAAATCGTCCTGCCAGCTAAGATACAAGACGCCTGGGCTCCGCATCATGCCCAACTGGATTGCGAAGGACAGGTGAGCGGCGATGACCACCACTATACCCCAGCCGCCTTCCCGTGGCTCATCGGGCTCAGCCTCCGCTGCACGCCTGGTCCGCAAAGTGGACGTCTTTGCCATATTCCCAGTTTAGGCCGTTGGCGGTTGAGGAAACGTTTACTAAAATTCGTTTGCAGAATTCAAAAAGATCTAATATGCAGTGCTTGCTTTGAAACAGTGCAGTGGATCTGAATCATCGGCAGCAATATATATATTTCGAATTCAGCATACGCCTCTTTCTAAGCGAGTTTAACTATGAGCAGAATCCACGCCGTAAAATTGAAGGCTCTTGCAATCAATATCTTTTTATTAGTACTTTGTTAAGCACAGGCTCCTCCGAATACGACCTTTAGTATTTACAAAACTTTGAACTTTGAACTGTTATGCAGCGGGAACAACGCTCGCCAAACATCTCTATTTGCCCCAGTCGCTTGAGACTGAAGTTTTGTTTATTTGCAGACATTTTGGTCGTTCTCGCCACACTATCCAAGGGGGCTGGTAAAATTTAATTTCTTTTGAGCTCTGATTTGATCAACCTAGTTCCCAGCGTGTCGGGCGCCTGGGCTCTGCATAAGACCCAAGAAAATGAAAACCCAGCGAGACTGCTAATCTCCTGAGTAATACCAGAACGGAATTCTTGGTGTCCAATGTGAGCGAGATATAAACCCGTGTTGCTGTTGGGAGTTTTCTGGGCTTCTGCGGGTGGGCCAATTGTTTCAAGATGTCCGTCACTACGGCGAGAGTTGTCGTCGCTATTTTGGCCATCATCTGACATTTCTCCTTTTTGCCGGTTTTTGGAGTACAGATAAGGTGTAGTTCGAATCGATCAATGGCATGGCGTACATTTTATATGGTTATATATTTATTTATTGAAACCGATACTGTGTTTAATTCAACATTAAAAACATTTACAATTGTTTCTACATTTGTGTTATTACTGGAGTAAAATATGTTGGTGTCGTCAGCAAAAAAGTATAAAAGAAAGGCAGCGGCGTAGCCAGGGTTCTCATCGGGAGGGGGGCTGGACCATCTTCCCATGGGGGACCTGTTCACAACCCGGTTCATGGTAATAACTACCGCTACTTGCTTACCGACGTTAAAATACACAGCCACTCGCGAAAAGACAGGGGGTTTTGGTGAAAAAAATACTATTATGTCTTACCTGGATCATCGGAGAATATAGACAGATAAATGAAGAAACTTGTGAAACAGAATCCGGGTCCAAATAATTTATTGACTAAACTAAACTCACATTTCGAATAATTAAGTATATGGATGACGAAGTAACAAGATGGGCGCTGTCGTCGGCTTCCTCAGACCAACTGCGCCGAGCATGGCAACGTTGCCCGTATATAAAGGCATTATTACGTAAGATAGAGGTTAATCCACCAAAAGATTAAGTAAGCTCGCAGAGCTTTCAGCTGAGTTTGGGAAATTCTATAAATGCTTCACAACAATACGCACAAAATCGCGGAAAAAGGGACATTATGTTCTTCCAGCTAATCATGGTAACTCATACGGCTGTGCTTTTCTCAGGATGCCGAATTTCCAGGTTCAAGAACGTTTTAAAATTAGAAAAGAAAAAGAGGCGCTAAGTCATAGTGGTGTAAATTTGATGGGGGGGGGGGGGGGGGCAAAATGTCCCTGCCTCCTCTAAAACTGATAAATCGAGAATATGTTGAGGAGTACAGGATTTGGGGGGAAAATGTGTTTTGCCCCCCTTTAGAAAAAAATCCTGGCGACGCCCATGGTTTCAACTGATAAACAATGTAATATTAAACAACCTGTAAACGTGAGTGCAAATGATATTTTTAACTATGCCGAAAAAAGACCTCTAGCACTTACAAAACTTTGAACTTGGAACCGTTATAAGCAGCGAGGACAATGTTCGTCAGATATCTCGACTTGCCCCAGTAACTGGCGACTGACCTTATTTGCAGAAATTCGGCAGGTGCACCATACCATCCAATGGCGATTATGGTGCACTCTTATTTCTTTGAGCTCTAAGTGGTTAAATTTTGTTTAACCTTTGAACTGTGTCAACACCTTAACGTGCGGACAGAATCAAAGTGGTGAGCTCTACTCACAATGCTTTGCGAAGTCTGCGTTTTTCAAGAAAGCGACGGCGCCATTGACGAATTTCAAATTGGCACTGAAACCGAGGGCCCCCGAAGAAGAGTGACGTTTTTTGTTGTTGAGAAGATTTAAAAAGAAAAAGTCCTTATTGTGGCTTTGCACCGATTACCTCGGTTTCAATTTCTTTTTGAAATTCGTCTATATTTGGATTGGACAGTACGTGGTCACCATATATAAGCATCGCAGCAGAATATCCACGGAGAGTTATTGCTAAATTGGGGCCGTTCATAGTTGGGCTTGTTTTCCCTCGCTTGACGATCTGTAACACCAAACATATATATCGAGATTCCGTCCAATACCAGAAAATGGGTTGCATAATATAAGTGTACACGAGCTTTATTGAAGTATTTTATTCAGCACGTTTTTGTCACGTAACAATAGTCCAAGTCCGCTGGAAAGTTCACAACTGATATGGAGATAACAGTCATTTGTAGCTGAAGGTTGGCCGTGTTTGCATTCCAAGTGATTGTAACTTGCAGGTCACGTCACTGATAATGAAAAACCCGAATAACAGGCCTTTCTACAGGTGTTTTACATTTTAACTGTTGTTCTAACAGTTGTCACGACATCGCGATGCTATACAATACATTATCTGGCTAATGCTCTGTGATCATGCATACATTACTGCTTATAGTTTCACTGTCACTGGACTGTTACAAACACTTTATACAATTACATTGATTTACACACTTTGCATTGGAACTGTTAGAATCCCCTTTCCCAGAGCGTGTAGAATATAGAAACATGGATAACTTTTGCAAGTACAAGGTTCGTTTTAGGCGGAGGACCGTGCTTTATACCAAAACGCAGTTAAACACTGCAGTTGTTTGCAAGAGCCTTGTGTCATACACAGCGTGTGACCGGCTCATTTAGTTTAAAAATGATGCATTTCAAGACATGGGTCTGTGCTTGGTAATTTACATTGCTGCAGATGTATCAATATCACTGAAGTTTCAACGGAAATACTTTTTGACGAATCACATTGATTTATCGTAAATACAGAAATACCCCCAAAAAAGGAACCACCAGACGGCCTGTAGAATAATGGCAAAGGCTTCCACCTTGCGGACCAGGCATGGAGCGGAGGCTGAGCCCGGTGACTCACGGGAAGGCGGCTGGGGTGTAGTGGTGGTCATCGCCGCTCACATGTCAATGGCGATCCAGGTTGGACTCCTTCGGAGCTGGGGCGTTGTATACCTGAGCTGGAAGGAAGATTTCGAGACCAACGACAAAGAGACGTCGGCCGTTCAGAGCATTATGTCTTCTGTGATGAGTTTCAGTGGTAATTAGTTTTCAGTCGACAGTTTGTGTTGATCCAAGAGGGGCCAGTCTTTAATTGTTCCTATCTCACTCTCTGACTGACTGACTGGCAATAACTTGTGGGCCGGGGAGTGCTATCATATAGGATTACCCCGACTGGCTAAATGAATGGGCTTGATCTGGCACATGAATCTGATCCACATGCTTACAAAAAATCTGGTGAATAGCCATTTTGAATCAGGCATAAGCTCTAGAACCAGCTGGTGTTGTTTAAAAAGAACATGTGTCACCGACGCTAAAAAAAAAATCCTGACAGTAAACATCCCCGCGATGACAAGAAACATTTTTTTCTGATTCGAGGAGATTTCTTTGCATGTTTGGATCCAATAAATCTGTACATAAAACTTCAAAACGGCATTGGTATGAGTCATATTTGTAGACCCTCACGCTGATATTTATATTGACCTGGGCTTTCGCAATGTTCTTTTCACCGAGCTATGAGTAGCATGGTTCTTAGGAGGGCTCAACTTCAGGGATGTAGTATAGAGTCCATCAACTTGTCACTGCACGTCCGTCACAAGTCCTTACTAGCTATTCAAAATGAGCATTGATAGCGGCATTCCTTTGTTATGGATCATCCACATTTTCTTGTGTACGGACTTGTGACTGGACTTGTGACTGGACTTGTGACTGGACGACAGGACTTGTGACTGGACTTGTGACTGGACTTGTGACTGGACTTGTGACTGGGACTTGTGACTGGACTTGTGACTGGACTTGTGACTAGGACTTGTGACTGGACTTGTGATAGACTGGACTACATCCCTCCTCAGTTGTTCTATACATGCATTTCCAAAACTTTGATTTGTTTAAAAAGGTTTCTTTTCCCCCCTTTAAAGGTCTCCCTGCCGGGGTTCTGACGCAACGTTTCGGCTGCAGAATCGCAGGGATGATTGGGGGAGGCCTTTCGTCCATTGGCCTTCTTTGCAGCTGTTGGGTGACCGACATACACCAGTTTTACATTACAGCTTTCTTCACCGGTAAGTGATCCTATTTTTGAACGCTTTAACGACGCTAGTTTCTAGGTACAAACTGTTGAAGCATTGAGTTTATCGAAGAAATGTGGTTTCTTAACTTCACTGAAAAGTGAGTCTTGATATAATTGCATATCAAAATGACAATTTCTCGGATAAAAATGACACTTTCCGGGTCAAAATGACACTTGTTTTTGTGTCTCAATGACATTTTTCAGGCTAAAACTAACACTTCTCTGGATCAATTTTTTCGGTTCATTTTAAATTTAGAGTGTATTGCCTATTAAATACTGTAGACCGCAGGTGTAATTACGTCACTATAATTACCGCATTTTAGCCGAAGACCAAGTTTGAGCGAGGACTAATGTTAACCACGGTGGACGAATTTCACTCGAACACAGGATTGCTGGACACTTCAGTCGATTACTTCAGCGGGGCTCGGTTCCATCGCTGGTTACCGACAGCTGCGCACATCATAATACCCAACCGGGAGCCAGGATCAAGAGGTTTTGTGATGAAGCCCCGGTGTACGTGCGCAGGCGTAAGTTAGGTCACGAATACACCACTGGTCGACTGTACTGGTCCTCGCCCGAACGTGCTTCAGTGTATACGACGTATTGCCCCGTCGCAATCATGATTTCCTGATTGTTCATAATGTTCTTTCAGTATTTTGGTATAGGCTTTAACTGATCATTTTTCATAGTATGGTTGTTTCTAATTTCTGCAGGAGTTGGCATTGGGATTTGCTATAATTCGACCATAGTCGTGGTTGCGTTGTACTTCAAAAGGAAATACAAAATAGCTAACGCAGTGGCCTGTTCCGGTCTGGGGACGGGAATCATGGCGGTGCCGCCTATTGTTCAACTTCTCCTGGAAAGCTACGGTTGGCGAGGAGCGTTTCTGGTCGCCTCTGCGATTGCGGCAAACAGCATCGCACTAAGCGCGTGTTACCGCCCTAATCACTACTTGAACAACAACAAAAAGTCTTGTCGTGAACATGACGGGCTCGAACATGAACCTACGCGTGAAGTAAACAAAGGAATTCATAACAACAAAACCGATTTTGTCACACTCAACCCCAAGAGCTCAAATTCCATTGTAAAATTCATCCATAGATTGTCAGTTACACTGGGGTTTCAACTTTTTCTTAAGAGCTATCGCCTCACTCTCCAGAGCGCGATTCAACTACAATACTGCATGGTGTATGTAGGGTTCGTGCTCTACCTCGTTCCCAGGGCACAGAGCGTGGGTGTGGCGCCCTCCACCGCCGCCATGTTGCTCAGTATTTTTGGCATCGGGAGCTTGCTCGGTCGTCTTGGAGGCGGATTACTGGTGAGCTGGAGGATATCGGCCGAGCACGTGTCCACCATCTCCTTGGTTCTGGCCGGAATGTCCGTATTGCTTCTGAACTTCGAAAGCTATTACATTTTCGCAATCGCTGCTTTTCTGCATGGATTTGCGTCAGGGGTCTTTTTCTCCATCGTAGTCGTTTTATCCCGGAGCTTTATCGGCGTAAGGAAATTAGCCATTGGAGTTGGAATCAGCCAGATTTGGGTTGGAATTGGTAGTGTGACCGGGCCTATTTTAGCGGGTAAGTTTTTTTTTTTTTTTTTTAACTATCTGTCATCAGTTTTTGGCATGCCCATCCCTATTCTTATAAGATGGAATTTTTGCGTCGGGGTGATATAAATCAAATTAGGTTTTGCCCTTCACCGACGTTTAAACACAGTATACTCAGTGTGTTACCTCCCGTGTGAAAGTTGGAAAAAAATCCCTATTCTTATTATTGAAATTTAAAATAATTAGTTATCTTCAGTGCATGGCTTTAATTGGACAAACAATTGTCATGTGAAATTCGGACTCCTCTGAAATCTGATCCATTTGGTATCAAATTCTCACCCGTGACGTCACTGTCCTAAGTATCTTCACTTTAGGCAAGCGCAATACACAACCAACTAGTTCGTATTTCATAGAGTCCAAGTTTCACACTACACAGGAATATTTCTCATGATGACCTCATGATGACCTCATAATCAGAGAGCGCACAGAGGTTTTCACAAACGGGTTTCGGGCACACAACGAAAAACAAAGCCCACACCTTCGGGCCTTTTTATGCTTACTTTTTTAACATTCCTATAGCTATGACGTGTCCAGGGTCTGATTATTTTTGCTGGGGTCAGAGGGGCCAGCCTACGGTCCTCGTTGCACCTGTCACGTTGAAAGACTGACTCCCTGACTGACTGACTGACTCCCCAACTGACCTTCACTGACCCACTGTCGCTTGTAACTTTTACGGCCTGGTTGTTGTAAAGATCGCCGGAGCACTGCCCTGCAATTAGCCTTTAGTCATGGCCCACGCGTCTTGATCCGGACACGTAACGCGCCCCGAACGCTGGCACGTAAAAAGACTATCCAGCGAGCGGCCTCTCGGCTGGCGCCGCTCGCTGGATAGTCTTTTTACGTGCCAGCGTTCGGGGCGCGTTACGTGTCCGGATCAAGACGCGTGGGCCTTGACTAAAGGCTACCCTGCAATGGGCAATATAGCCCATTGTGTAAAACGGATGCATTGAAAAGACCAATGATAGCCATTTTGAATCAAAAGAATGCAATCTACCAGGATTGGCTAGTCTTGTTTATTGATAATTTCAAACAGGATGGATCCTGGACACGACTGGTGGAAGTTATCAGACCTTCTTCTACGTTGGTGGCGCAATCTGCTTCATCTGTGCTGTACAAATGTTCTTCTTACCCCTACTGAGACGGGTGGAACCAGGCATTGACATCCTCCCTACCGATGCTTGAAGGAACATGCAAGGTTTACGATGTTAATCTTGAACAATTGCATTAAACGGATCTCATGGCCACGCGAGCAGGGGGAATAATGTGGAATGACATTTTTGTATCCACTGTAATTCATTGATTGAAAACGCCTCTTTTTTTTCAAACAAAGGCAGCTTGTATGCGGCCATCGAAACAGTTTGTAAAGATCGTTAATTGTTTCATTTGTTTTTCAGATATTTAAAATTTTTATGCTGAGAGGCAGGGAAATTTTTTTTCTCGATCATGCTGACTATTTTAGTGACTTTTCTGGTCATTATGTATGGAGCAGGCGTAAAAACGTTTTGAATAAATATTGGTATAACAATTATCAAAAACTTTATTTCGTTAGCTGTTTGTTCATAAATTGTAAATTAGTATCCAGACCAATGCATTTAGTAACTTCCTGAAAAAAAATGAAAACAATGTCTAAGCTATTTTCAATTAGGTCTTTGCACCATTTTCCAGTTAAAAGGTTCATTACACCTTTTTTCCGCGCTTGTTTTTGATGGGAGATTTATTTGAAACTTAATGTCTTTGAATGAATTTTCACTTGAGTTACAATTTTTTTTATAGTTAGCATGGAATTATGTGGATTTATTCGCATTATTGTAATTACGGGAAATGGTACCTTTGAGAGACAATCCCATAGATTTGTCCGAACTTTAATGACACTTAATCATAACCTAAACTTGGTAAATTTGGGTTGTGGCACAGTCGCGGAACAGGGTTTCCCTTTGACGTAATAATATAGTGCATATCGCTTGCCTATGATGCGAAACAGTTTGGCCATCAAAACAGCTTGATTGCAATTTTCATGCCAAACCACAACCGATCCACACAAACAAAGCTGTTTTAGGTAGTTACATACATCTATTTGGGTATTTTTTCGCCCCCCCCAAAAAAAAAATTTCGATGCATTTTGACGATATTATTTCATGGACAAAATCGACTAAAAATTACGTGATGAAATTTCCGGGTTTTTTTTTCTACAACGACGAAAGTCTCCCGAATGTTGAGGTAATCAAAGGAAAGAATGAGCCTTCATTAACAAAAAAATCTCGTGAACGTGATGTCGTTGATATTTCAAGAATTCGATTTACACCTTATGTTTCCAACAACTTCCATTTTTCACAACGCGAAAAGATCGTCGCCATTGTAAAAGCACAGAGCGAGGAACCCAGACACTGTATGACCTTGTGACCCATATGCCCACAGATTGGTCGAGCTCGAGATGGCCTGCTTAATATTCATAATTTACTCACATTTTTTTTCAGGCCCATACGTTAATTTACACGCGTACATATGTGATTGCAAATCATGAAATCTCGCAAACGTCTTCATTTTTCAACCGGCGATTTGGACCACAAGTATAAAAGTCTCCTGCACGTGTTTTATATGAAAATGAAGCGTAGACTATCAACTATCTAATGAATCTTTCCATTTCTTTCGGCCTTTTTTTTTTAAAGAATCGAATGTACACCTAACATCTATCGGCCCTCACTTTTGTTGCTATAAGTATACTTTTTGTTTGACACGTCGTAACAACACTTTATTTTTGTCGAAAGCAGTTAATGTAGTATCAAAATGAAGCACACAATTGCAACTGTTCACTAACCTAGCCATCTTGGCCAAACAGTGCATGTATCCAGGTACTTTTCGTTTTTTCTGTAGTCTCGAATGCAGTCTCGTAAAATCTCGCGTAGGCTTTTGGGTCATGCGTGCGTGACCTCGTGACAAGATTCTGAGGTCAACTTACAGGGCTCTGTGCGTGACACGGCCGCTGAGCTCCACGGTATCGTCCCCTGGTGTTTATATAACACGAGATATCAAGCGTGTCATTTTTATGAACGTGTTTATTCACTATAATAATGGACAGTGCTAGATGTGCCATGACAGGCAGGTTTCGCAAGCGAACGGATACGCTTACACTTACGTTTAGCTATCCGTATCCGTTTTTTACTTACGTGTAGCGAGCGAGATATTCGTGTCGTCTGCACGTTTAGCGGATAGTGAGTGGCGTATGACGTCATGACTGATGACGTATCCGTCGCACTAAACGTATCCGTTTGCATGCGAAACCTCTAAATACCACCACAACAACAAAAGTCCTCAGTGCGTAGTTTGCTACTCTGGCTTCAAGACCGGCCTACACCGTGTACGCAATCCGTGTTGAAGCTAGTTGACTTGTTTTGAGTGTTGGTGAGTTTATGCTTCGTGAGCCAGGTGTCCGTAAATTGGGCTTAAACTTAGGCCTAACGTGAGGGACTTCAACAAGTTGAAAGAAGTGCCTCCCCCCAATAAGGCATTATGGCTGTTTATAATACGTCCACGTCAACAGTTGTCTTACAGGAAAATGTGGGGATAACATTTCCTTGAACTTGTTCAAGTCCAGTAGGCAACCCTAATTTTGCCTATTATTACACATTTCATTAAAATATCTGACATGCACCATCACTCCACCAGACAAGCAACTGAGGACACCCTGTTCATTCCTAAATATAAATCAGAATGCTTGAAGCATAGTCCTTTTGTTGCTGGGGCTACTGTCTGGAATAGTTTAAATAAAGAAACACGTTCAGCAGCCTCAATTGGTTCTTTTAAGTCAATAATGAAACTTAACTTTTTAACCGTTTAGGTTGCTTCAAATTATTGTTTTAATTGTACTTTTTTTTAGCATGATTAAGTGTACTCAAGTTTATTGTCTTTATCACTTACAATTTTCTTCTTCTTCTTCTTCTTCTTTTTTTTTTGGGGGGGGGGCGTTTGTTGGATTGTTTGTTTGTTTGTTGGGTTGTTAGGGCTGTTTGTTTGTTTGTTTGTTTGTTTGGTTGGTTGGGTGCTTGTTTATTTGTTTGTTGGCTTGCGTGCGTGTTTTTTTTTGTTTTTAGCATGTTAGGGATGCATGTACTCATTTTTACTGTTTTTATTATTTACAATAGTTTTTTTTAACTTGTTTTTCGTTTGTATTTGCAACTAGGACTTATTTTGTGATCTTATTCTTAAATTAAACTTCTTAATCTGCACTTTTGTCTATCGTCGTTTTCATATACACATTTATATTGTTTATGTTAAACCCGTTCATGTTTCTTTTATTTAATGATTATTTTTTAACGGTTATAGTTTTATATGATCTTATTTCCTATTTGTTTTGATAATTTTATACACTTTTAATCCTTTAAATTGTTAGTTTTGTTTTATTAATTTTAAATTATATGCTCAGGGCCCCGTGGAAGACCACATTATTTTGTGAACGGGCTACCCTGGTAAAAGATCAGAAATAAATAAATAAATAAATAAATAACACCCCAATTTACGGACACCTCATTCTCCCTTTGTAAGTTTCTGGGCTAAATTTCATAATATTTTCCTTGTCCATAAGAGTTTCTATAGCCTATATATTTATCAGGGTAGATGTGACAGTATGCGTCTTTGTGAATTTGAAGCTCATCAATACTGAGTTTTGGCAAGACTGCTTGACGATATCTGTGGAAAAGGTGAATGCATGCGGGCCATACAATGGTAGCCATTTTGAATCTATCACAATTATCCAGTCACTTATGCTTCTGAAAATGTTATTTAAGTAAGGATAAGTATGTAGAATCCCCAAAATATACTCTTTTTTAAATTTCATCCCAAAATATGGAAATTAATATGTTACTATATGCGGCAGCTATTTATTTATGCAAATTAGGTACCCTACTAAAATGAATTTCAGAAATCACCCCTTCTAAATATCTTGGGCTAAGAATCTATCTGCTAAGTTTGGTGCTTTGGGCCAATCGGTCACGATCTTGTGACCTGAACCTGAACCTGAAACCTGAACCTTGTCAGAATTAAAGTACCCGCTATATTAGTCTATAGCGTTAGAAGCAATGGACATAATGCACAGTTTATCAAACACACTAAATCTAAGGTTTATTGATTTGTATTGTTAAGAACAAATAAACCATAGATTCTTTAACCATGACACTTTGTTTAAAGGGAATATACATCATTTGCTTTTGCTGTAATTTTCAGAAATGGATGGAATTGGGGGTTGGAAATATATAGCAAATATAGTTACACTGACTTTTTTGAGGTTTTGGGTTCGAAAATGCTATAAAAACCAAGAAAAACAATCATTTTCCTGTAGTCTGGTTCCCTGACTCCATATAAGAAGAAACAGAGCAGTTAACATACATTGGGGAATTGTAAGGTCAGGGAACCCGTCTAGCTGGCTCGTACCCGTTCATAGGTTTGTAATCGATTGCAAACAAGTGCGATGGTCAATTGGGGCCAGTATTTGAAAAAAAGCCAGTTTTTTCCAACGCTGGTCGGCCGACCAGCTTTGGAAATTGATACAAAAATACCACTTTTCTTGAAAATGACAGTATACCAGGTGGCATGATTTTACAGGATGCTTTACACTGTCATTCACTAACAGTCCAGCAAGGTATTTCAAAATGATTTGGTAGTTTTATTTTTTGATGTTTGCAAATGTTGTATTTTCCCTTTAATGCTTCTCATCTGTTGGGATGAACTACACGTTAATTTTTATTTGGATACACAATTGAATATTTTAATCTCTGTTTAGTATCTATTTTTAGGCCTTATCGTTCGAAGGTCACATTATCTGAAATAGCCTTTGGCTGACAGCAAGGACTAAAATATCTCCAAGTATATACAAAAATACAATCTAATCTTGTGTTCGAGTGGTTACGTGCAGCCGATACTTCTAATTTAAGGTTAAATGCATTATCACAAGCCTGTGCCTTTTTGAGTGACGAAGCTATACGGCAAGCAATCATCCGTGGAAGAAAAGCGTTCTTTCTCCTCGTAGCGGCACCAATTAGGCCTAAGGTAATATTCTGTAACTTATAACGTTATCGGATTTGCCTAATTTCTCGAAGGAAACTAAAGCCCAAGTCACACTTTCACGGTTTGGAGCTCCACGGTTTAAAATTCGTGATAAACCGTGGGAGTACCGTATTCATCCTTAGTACATCCGTGGTTATCCGTCATCTTCCTTCGGTATTCGTGGGGGGGGGGGGGGCTACGGAAGTTTTAAACTGTTCCAAACTTCCGTGGTGAATCGCCATGAAATCAATTCATAGTGCAACCGTGGGACATCCGTAGGACAACCGTGCTAATTCGTAGTGTTATTCGTGGCTATTCGTACATAGTCGCGGAGATTCGTAGCTTAATCGTAGTAGAAATCTCTAAGAATCGCTACGAATGTCCAACGGATATGCCCGGATGTGCTAGGGTTCTGCTAAGATTGTACTACGAATATCCACGCTTTATTCGTAGGAGAACCTTGGTCATACATGACCCAATCGCAGCAACCGTGGCGTTAACGTCATTATTCTTAGTAATACCGTCGATATTCTTCAACAATCAGTCCGTTTTCTTGACAAACCGTGGTGTATTCGTAGAAAACCCTCAGGAAAGTCGTGGCTATAATACATCCGTCCTGAAACCTTAGTTAATTCGTAGAAAGTCGATTCCACGAATCTCGACGGTTCACCGTGAGCGATTGATTCTTGGTGATTCGTAGCTCCAACCGTGAATGTGTGACTGGGGCTTTACATGTAGCCTAGCTACGATAGTTCTACTCTGCTTGATCACTAAGCTAGCGAGACTTGCGCGTGTGTCAACAGATGGCAACTTAAATCTGTAACTGAACATATTAACAGAGCTGAGTCAAGGTGGCTGACGTACTAAGAGTTGTGTTGCTCGCCTACATGGGAAAGGAGTCTTCAAGTTATGCAAATAAGGAATGTGTGTGAGTCTGATAAGTGTAGGAAGAACTGGGTCTGAACTCGTAAAGCCTGTGGTCAAATTTGACTTTCAACACAGAGTCAAGTATAATCCTAGCCGTCCCTTAATATTGTCAAATAGGTGCCAACATTGGTGCTAAAAAGTCCACTCAGGATTTAACTGAAACGTTAATTTACAGCTTAATACATTGGTTTATGTATTGTTTTGCAGCGACCAGATTTACAGTCTCTAAGCAGTAAAAAAGTAACTTAAGTATTTTGCGTTTGTTGTTTTAAGATTGTGAAGAAACCGAAACAAAAGTAATAAATACTTTGTATTAGTGTTTAACATAATTTTTGATGCTAAGCACAAACACTTACATTTTGTCATGGCCAGTTAACAGAACATGAAACAGTCGCCAGGTAAAACGCGCCGCGGAGGGCGCTACACAAAGGTAACCTCTGACCCTCCAGAAGGTGGGTGGGGCATCGTGGTGGTCGTCGCCTCCCATCTGATCATGGCGCTAGTGCTCGGACTTATCCGGTGTAGCGGGGTCTTCTACCAGAGCTGGAAGAACGAGTTCAACACCGGCGCCAAGGAAACGGCCGCTGTCCAAAGCATCACGGCCTCCTTGTCCTCCTTCAGTGGTAATGGAACTTCCATGTCTGTCAATCACACAGAGCGCATTGACCAATTAGATCAAACCTTTTCACCAGGTGACCACAGTGACGGTATCTCAGTGAATCACGGTCATGGGGAAAGTGAGAAATGTACGCAACCAAAAGTAGGCGGGGCTTAGACCAAATCACGGAACGATCCATTAACAGGGTGGATGCACATTTGGAGGAGCTATTTCCAGACTTAAATAGAATTAAGGCATCAGAATTCATCACAATGTATCACAATTAACTTACTACAAGTTATTCAAGTGGACCTTGACAAAGGCGTGTGATTGCCTTTGTTCCTACTTATTTACGGTTTACTCATGCTTGAATGCGACTATGCGGCTTTAAAGCTTGACTCATGCTGATGATGGCCTTTGATTCATACTTTTAGCACCCTTTCCATTTCATTTTGCTTCTAGTTGTGAAAATGACAGTACCAAGACCAGCCGCAATTAACAATTCAGAACGATGTTCTTCCTATGTTTATGGTTCTTACCAACTACAAAATAACACATTGGGCGACAGGTTTGCTTATCGCGTCTGCGACAAATTGGTGTCGCTCTAATGTTAAAACGACCCTAAGGACAAGAAATTTAATGTCGCAAACCATCTCGATCGATTCCTTGTGGTACAAAACGTACCGATACCGAAATTCGTGGAGGCAGAATATAAAGGTAAACTTGGGTTAGATGATATTTTAGGTTTGTGAACAAGTCTATGGCAAAGTCGTCCTATTATAGCATTAGTAATAATTATTACAAATAATTAAGATATTCAAAACTTTACGTTTATATAAGAAAATACTTATAAGTTTTTCATGCTCCCCAAAATAGCCTGATAATTGGGGAAAACTGCATCACGATTATCGATTTAGACACTGTGATTTCATCTATCGTTGCTCTTTCAGGCATTATCGGCGGTATCCTGACCAAGCGATACAGCTGCAGGTTTTCGGGAATGCTTGGCGGGGCTTTAGCGTCTTGTGGCCTGTTCGTAAGCTGCTGGGTGGCCAACATATACCAGCTGTACGTCACTGCCGCAATCACAGGTATTTCATTAATTTAAAAAGTGCCGATGAAAAAAACCCAGTTCACTAATTTACATGTATTCAACGTATTCAACGTACGCAAAAGCATAAAAAGAGTGCCGATGACAAAAGTAATAGTTTACTACATGCATTCAACGTATTCAACATACGCAGAAACAATCGTGGCATTAAGTGCAGTGGTAAAACATGGGAAACAAATATCTTAGGCAAATTTCTCAAGTATTGGTGTTTTTTTGCGTTGAAAGGCTGAGAACATGAAAAAGCATGATCGACATGAGTGACCTCGGACGCACGGCCAAAACGGGTGCAGACACTACATAGGGGTGGGGAATACTGCTTGTGCTCCTTGCTTCAGATGCTATGTTTTTGCGTATGTTCCATAAATTGGAATCTATCAGAGAACTGGTCTATAGCTATCCTTAGTTTGGAAACATTACGAGAATGGGGGAGGATATTCTTTGACTAAAGAGGATGTAGAATGTATGATTATACTACCAGACGTTTGTACGAAAACTGCCAATCGAGACGATCGAGCTTCATTTTTTTGCGATTTGCTTATTACATTGGTAAAGGTGCTGGGATGGGAATTACCTACAACGCCGGTATAGTTGCAGTCGCCCTTTACTTCAAGAAAAAGTACAAGACGGCCAACGCCATTGCCTTCTCTGGTTGTGGCACGGGGATGATCGCTGCACCACCACTCTTGCAACTGCTTTCCGAGAACTTCGGTTGGAGAGGAGCTGTTTTCATCAGCTCGGCAATCATGGCGAACGGCGTAGCATTTTGTCTCCTCTTCAGACCCCTCCCGAGGAGAGTGGAACAGTCCGCAGCGGAGTCATCTGAAAGCGATGATAGGGCCGGTCCATTCGCTCAAGGGGGTGTCTTGGTTGCAAGTGACGAGGGGGATAATGTTGAAGAGGATTCAATTACAGGAGATGATCGGTGCTGTAACGCGCCTGATGAACTTCAAAATACAAGCGACGAGAATGTTCTAAGCGATATGAGTAATAACAGCGGGTATGTGCCTCCAAAAGAGGCTAAGAAATTGTGTGTGGCGGCTACCCTGCTCAAGACATACTCGGAATTGTTGGGATTAAACATATTTCTGAAGAGTTATCGTTTCGCCTTGCTGTGTCTCCTGCAGTTCCAGTTCAGCCTGCCGTATATGGGATTCGTTCAGTTCCTTATTCCCCGCGCGGAGAGCCTGGGTGTGACGCCCTCCAGCGCCGCCTTCTTGCTCAGTCTCTTCGGCATTGGTACCCTGCTCGGCCGGTTGGCCAACGGTGTGCTGATCAGCTGGAGACCAACCGCCGAGCACGTGACGGCGGCCGGCATGACCCTAGCCGGTTTGAGCATGATGCTCTTGAACGTGGACCACTATGCCGTCCTGGCAGTGGTCTCGTTCGTGAAAGGCTTCGCCATCGGCTTCCTTGTCGCCGTCATGGTCGTCCTGACTCGGCGCTACGTTGGAATGGCCAACTTCGCCCTCAGCGTGGCGATTTTTGGTATCTTCTTCGGGGCTGGGGTTCTCACTGGACCGGTCATGGCAGGTAAGTGGTGTAGATGAAAAATGCTTGAGTTGGCATTTTAAGGATTACAGCGAAAACAAAACTGATGTGGCCAATTTCCAGCAATATTTAGCAACACAGTAAGCAATAGATCACAAGCATCATAACTACTTACCAATGCATGTCCCGTCCGGGCTCTTGAAACCCCCCTTTTTTTTTTTTACATATTCAACCAGCAGGCCTACTTTTTCTCTTCTTTCTTTTCGTGCGTCTGTTAAAAAGAACTATTTGCGTTGCCGCTGTTCAGACACAGATCAAGAGTTGCGAGTAAATTGGTTTCCGAATTGTCGGGCGGAAGCATTCAGGGCAATGTATGTAGTGTCCTCATGCCTTCAACAGCTTTGCGGACCATCCGCGTTCTTCGCTTTAACCATGCATTGCTCTGAATGGCACACTCAGGTGGAAGGTCGATCGAGCAGCAGGACAGAGAAAATGTGAACCTCATCTGTATTTGAGATTCAAGTTCATTAAATGTTTATTTAATTCCATTCATATCCTGTTCTGTTGTTACTTATATTTCCTTATTGTCCGTCCAGAGACCCATTGTTTCTGTTGTGTTGATAGCAAGAGGCCTATCCTGAAAATTGTGTTGGCAGTGTTGACAAAGATAGGCCCATATCCTATTCATGCATGGCTAATTATCAGTGGAAATTTAACTGACCGTGGTCAATACCTAGACCGATTGTTGGCTGAACAATAACGTTGGTATTAAACTATACCCGTTTTGGGGGGAGACAAGAACTACTGTACTCCAAAGGGACATTATTTTTGTACTCACCCTATACATTTAGGCATTGTATAAAACCAATAATGAATGTTGTCACATTCGTGCAATGGAAAGAATAATTTCAATGTTCACCTCTACTCGTTCGCTACCTCTACTCACTCACCACCTACTCATGGAATGGAACATTCCTTCAGGTTGTCACCCCATGAAACTATTCTGGCCATTGCACTCATAAACATTCATTATTTGTATAATTATGATATTGTCTTCCTGCAGGTTGGTTGCTGGACGTAACTGGGAACTATCAGACCGTCTTTTATGTGCTTGCCGGTGTGTATTTCATGTGTGTTGTCCAAATATTACTGCTTCCCCTGCTGAAAAGAATCGAGCCAGGAATTGACATACTCCCATCGGATCGATAGCAGCAATTACCGTACCAATGGAAACTTGTTTAGTATTGTAATATAGCTCGCTTTTGCAAAATTGAATCATTATTGCCATTGCAATCGTTCTATTTAAAGAAATGCATTGATTTCGGCCACGTTCGTGCTTTGAAGATTTTGTTGCATTCGGGATTGTTCTCATTCAGCCTTGTCTATTATCGTTTGCCATGTGTAAGATGAAGAACCAGATAGAACCCTCGGGGCTAGACTAGAGTTTAATAGATGAGCTTCCAGGAACAACCTTACAGACGCATGCGCCAGACGAGGCAACAAGTCTCATCATATCAGTACCAGAATTTCAAAACCGACTCGGGTCGACCAAACTACTGTGGTTTTGGGCAAGCAAAGTGTACTCGCTAATGTCCTATTGACTATGGCGACGTTAGAAAACAAAAACGAAGTAGAGTGGTTTCGAACGACTACACAAACATTGCTGTTTTCTGAAAGCTGAAGATGCTCTGGAAAAGGGAATAAAAAATAATAATTACCTTAATTGCAGTACGAGGTGTGACCCTAATGTGTCTTGGTGCCTTTTGCTTCGTAAGAAGTATAATGAAATACACCCGATACATGTGCACCTATATTATGCCCATGAAGGCGTAATGGTTGTGATCCAGCTTCAAGACGACCATGACGGTACAGTTCATTTCAACAATAAACCCTGAAGGTGAGGTCTCAACACCAATGAACCCTTAAGGTTGTAACACATGTATATTAAAAATTTGCGTAGTGCCGACATGGCCAGGTCTTTTTTGTTTGGGGTTGACGTAAAAGGACCGCATAGGGACGGGGGTGCAAAAAAGGTTAATTCTTCCTGAAAAGCATACAGTGCACACAAAACAAAAACAAAATGGAAGTGCACAAGTTACATTCGATTGTATCACAATTCGGAAACCTTGTCAGAACAATGCATTTAACAGCCAGTAAGTTATACAAACTTAACCAAGTTCATTGATGTTATCAGTCTCCAAAAAAAAAAAATTAATAACAACATTTAGTGTATCCATCATCAGGGCCAATGACTTGTGTTGTGGAAATGTATACATTGCATTTTGTACTTCTCCAATCTAAGGGTGAGGATCGAGTGTGTCACAATATTTAGAGTTACAACGTTATTATATTACTGTTATTGTCGAAGAGCGCCCTCTCTCGATGTGAAATAAAGTGGAGTGTCTCGTGAAAAATGGCTGCCATAATATGAGTTATCTCTTTCCATCATGTCCTTGTGCCCGCTCCCCTAAAATTAACGCAGTGCATATCTGCTTTGTCAATATTCACGTATTCATAGTGCAATGCGCTCAAGTACAGGCCTTTACAAAGGTTATGAATAGATATAATTGTGCACGTCTGCACAAAGGCTCTGTTTGTGTCGAAGGCCTTGCACCGATCCGTGTAGTGAGGCTAGTTCGATTTTATATATACAGCGGTGCTCATAATTTTTGCGGAAGACAAAGCAATAATGGTGCTCGTACGAGGAATACTGGTAGCGTTTGTGGTGGCGGTGGTTGCAGTGGCGACCTATGTAGTGTTCGCGCCTATCCCTGAGGATGTAGACAGCCCATGGATGCTCAAACTTATTTCGCCATTGATGACAAATGTAAGTATGCTAACAGTTTTTATATATGATATTGCCATATATAATTCATTGAGGTTGGACATGGGTATTACACGTAATGATACCCATAGTTCTAGTTGGACATTTGGACTGGCTATAAACCACATGAACGAGGCCCTCGTTTTAGACTTTCTCTTAATCTATGCTACACATGAACATTTTATGCAATGTCTTATTTCCCAATGTTTCAAAATGTGGATTAGCTGTTGTGTTGCACGACATTCAAAGCTCACTATGGTGCGTTGTCCGTGTTTTAAAATCTTATCTACATAGAAATTATTACAATTTGCCTGATCTGATCACGAGTGCGTATCAAATGGGTTTATATTAAGTCTATTCTTCTTTTCTTGGTGGGATTAACAAAATGTATAAATTCAATCCAGACTCTAAGAAAAAAGATCAGAGAGTGGGCATCGTTATATTTTTTTCTTGATTATTTTGTTAGGGTCATTATGTTGGGATGTTTCTACCGTGTGGTCTCGTCGATTGGTTAGATGAGCGATTCAGGGCAAACGCACGGGCGAGCGAGCCGGGAGTACCGTACAGAGACGCGGTGTTTGACCGGGTTCAAGTCCGGATATTTGCCGCCGAGCCAGCGGAAGGGAAGACCGATAAACGGCCGGCAATCGTCTTCTACCACGGCGGAGGTTTTGTATCAGGTCACATAGGTAAGATCTAAAACATTTAACTTTAAATGCATAAACATACGTATCAGTTTCCAATCATATCACCACTCAAAATCCAAATAAGAATGTTCGAAACCTAACCAGTTTCAGTTGAGTACTTGAGTGGTTTCACTATTCGAGAAAACAGTGAAACACTATGCACAGCCTTTTGATCGCAAAACACCATTTGTCAATAGCATACTTTATTTCCAACCATCAGAAATCAGTCATTATTGACTGATAGTTGGAAATCATCTAGATATTTCTTGATTCTTCTTAATGACAGCAAGGCAGACGAATGCAAATTAATGATCCCGTGTTCCTTTTAGTTTTGGTCAAAACTACTATCGTTTTTGCACCCTCCCTTTTGCTGTGGAAAAATATGGTATAAGTCAGGTAGATAAATGTGCTCTCATCATCATTTTGATTTTCGGGGGTGATTAAGTGTAAATAATACTTGAACAGGAACACATAGTGTATCAGAGAATAAATTCAAACAATAGCCTGTACGAAATGACGATACAGGTATTTGGGTGAAAAGCCTTTATGAGTGATCGGTATAGTTGGTGCTGCAGGTTATGTAAAATTTAATTTGGACGCCTTGATTCGTCCAAACCACCCGTGCAATAATCCTATAAACATTCACTTCTCCAGATGTCTACCACCCGTTAACGGCGATGCTGGCGCGGGAACTGAATGCTGTTGTGGTTTCTGTCAAGTAAGTTAACATTTTTTTAAGGGTGACGTTTCGTCAGAAAAGACATTTCTTTTGCCACAACCCCACCCAAGAATTGCTTCATTTTTTCTCAAGGCACTCTTGATGACACAACACCCTCGATTTTGAGTTAATTAAAATACTGTCAATGCTGTGTTTCTTTTATGCCTACAAGTATAATATTTTATGTATGGTCTTTAAAACAGTTACCTTTTGGCGCCAAAATATCCATTCCCCGCGGCAATAGACGACTCCACAGCTGCCATAGTCTGGTTCCTGAAGCACCTAGGCGATTTCAACGTCGATCCTGCGAGAGTTGCCATCATGGGCGACAGCGCTGGGGGCAACCTGGCAGCAGCCGCGGCACAACGGTTAACCTTTGACCCCGAGTACCGTGACCTGCCCAGACTCAAGTTGCAAGTCTTGATCTATCCGTGCTTGCAAGCGTTTGATTTCCACACGCCTTCCTATCAGCAAAATGGCGACTACAATACACTCATAGTGAACAGAAGATTTGCGGTGACGGCTTGGAATAAGTATCTCCGTGGTAACAGGGGTGACGTCACGGAGGCAATGGTGATCAATAACCACACCTCGGCTGCCGCCAAAAGCTCCCCGTTGGTCCAAAAATGCCTCTCGCACGACCTCATCCCTGACGAGTTTAAGAGACCAGACTACAGAGCGCCCTCAACCGACTTCGGCGATGACGCCCTCTACGAGGAGATCAAGGACGTCCTCTTGGATCCAGACTACGCTCCTCTCATGCGAGAAGACCTGAGAGGACTCCCAGAGGCTTACATCCTGACCGCCGAGTATGACGTCTTGAGGGATGAAGGCATCATGTATGCCAAGCGGCTGGAGATGGCGGGAGTGCCAGCCACTTTGAAAAACTACAAGAAGGGTTTTCACGGCTTGTTTAGCTTTCCCTCTGAAGTGGGTAAGCAAGGCGTAAATGATTTTCTGCAATTTGCGCGGGAAAAACTGTAAGTTCATGAAGTTCAAAACGTTCTGTTATTGTCAATAACTAGCACATGTAAATAAAACAGTAGTCTAATTGATATTTGATATGATGGATAACAGTACGAAGGACCGTATTGGTGTTATGATTATTTAGATGATGTATAAGTGATTCTGCTGTTTGCGCGGAAGACAATTCTAAGACAATTAACTGAAATTGAGAAACGCAATACGATATAAAGCTGAAATAATTTACATTTGTTGAATTAATTTATAAAACTTACCTTTTTTGTAGTTAATAAGGGGGGGGGGCCCTCTGTCACCAATCTTGCTACAACACATGGACCTTCTCGTGGAACATTTGTTTACCATGGAATAAAACTTCGGTGCGGCTGGGCAGTGGCTGTTGGGACAAATAATTCAATGACATGAGATCAGCTACCTAATCCGATGGGAGGAATGTATTAGACTTTGTATAAAATAAACTAACGATTAGCTCGTAGGCTGTGTATTGTCATATTCCTTTTAATCAAGACTGACCTCTTCGATTATCTCGTCTTTGATTGAGACGTTCTGCCCGATTAGAACTACCTTCAAACCAGGGAATTCCGTCAATATAGTTACCATGGAACTGGCGTAGGTCATGCGCAATTTACTGTGTGCTTCATCAGGGTTCCTGAAAATAAAAGAAGTCAAAATGATTTAAAAGTTATGACGATTATGTCCTCCCAATCCGAAGCAAAACAGCAAGGTCACCAAACACATTATACCTTTTTTAAATCTGAAAGATCGTGTAACTAAAATATTCATTTGGCATTTTTCTTTGTAGATATTGTGAACACAATAGGAGGGCGCCATTTTGCTAGAATAAACCATATTAGACATCTTAGACACCTCGACATGACATTCTTAAGTTTTTAAGTTGTGTTTATATCAAAACGCTGCGACATGTAACAGCCATGTCCTGTTAAGTTCGCGTGTCGTTCGTATAAGTATCGTTGCTGTTTTCTTTCTAATGGAGATCACTAATTTCTATATACACACAGAGTATTAGAGATATTTGTGATATTAGATGCTGTGGTCAACACTGACGCTGTCTCGAGATATTTCAACAAAAACAACACACTCGATGTGGGTCCAATAAATCGGGAAACATTTTATTCGTATTCAATTGAAATTTCGTCTGTTAAATGAGTGTTTAAAAGACGGCGTGTAAATATAAAAAAATTGTCAAATACTTAAAGGGAATGTACATCATTGGCTTTTGCTGTTATTTTTAAAAATGAACTATTTGAGGGGTAAGTATAATAGATCAAATATTGTTACACTGACATGTTTGAAGTTTTGTGTTCGAAAATGCTGGAAAAGCCAAGAAAAACAAAAACGTTGAAGTAGTCTGGTTCCCTGACTCCACTAAAGATGAAATGGATCAACTTATAGATGCCGGAAAATTGTTAGGTCAGGGAACCAGTCTAGCTGACCTGCACCCGTTCATGAACATGTAACCAATAGCAAACAAAATTTTGACTGAACAAAATGGTAAATTTGGAGCAGTAGCTGAAAAATAGTTAGGTTTTTCCAACGGTGATCGGCCGACCACCGTTGGAAATTTATACAAAAATACCATTTTCTTGAAAATGACTTCACACCAAGTGCCATAATTTTACAGGATGCTTTAGACTGTCATTAACCAACATCCTAGTGACGTATTTCGTAAAAACTTGGTAGTTTTATTTGTCGATGTTTGCAAATATTGTATATTCCCTTTAAATTAATCCCAACAGAATAGCGGGTCTCAGCGACGAAAAAAAAAATCACAAGCTTACCCGGGTAATTTTGTGTAAGTTCCAATTTGTCTGTTTTGTTCAAACAAACAGAAAGTACTTTATTTCGATTTTGGGCGTCTTCAACCCTCTGAAAGAGGGCTTTCCTTTTGTGAAGAAACCGACCCTCTGTGCGAGAGCCGAATTATTGTCTGGCAGATGTGCGAAGGAATAATTAATTAAATAAAATGTCTACAGTCTTTGTCACGGCTAAAGGCAGCGCCCGCCATTTTCAGCCGGACAGAGAACAATCTCAAACTCAAAGGAAATAAAGTTAGCTAAAATAATGCACAAACAAATTCAATTTCTCTTTTGGATGATCTTATTTACAATAACCCATACAAATATTATTAAACGTCCAAATCTTCCTCCACACAGGATGCCCAATCTGGCATAAAGGGGTGGAGAAACTGGCTCAGAATTTCACTCAGAAATCTTGGCAAAAGCCGAAAACGCATACAGCACTGGCTTCACACAGAAGCAAAAGGTACCAAAACGGGCACAAAATCACGAAGTCAAAATATCTCAGCTCCAATCAAAATATACGGGCAAACTATCTGACCGGGCGGACAGGTCCTACACCTCTGGCGTCTAGTGAGTGTTCTGGGATGTGGGACTACGCCCAAGCTTAAATATACCAGTTAAAGAACAATACAAATTCCAATCAATCTCTTCTACAGTGTATGAGGTTCACTAAATTCCTGAGGTCCATATTGCAACAACGATCTAATTAAACTATGGCCCTACTTGAAAACCCTAGATGTGCTGGATGGGAGAATACAATCTAAAGACTATTGTGTTTCTTCACCTGAGTATGAATTAGCTATGCTGCGGGAAGACATACAAGATTAAAGAAACAGTCTATATCTACATTTGACAGAAGGAATAATAAAAAGTGTAGTCTTGGCCTGCCTTCGAAGTTCTACGTGGCTACCCCGGAGACATATGTGATTATTCTGATATCGTTTTCATGATACCACATGGTTTCATTGGACTGAAATATCACGTATCTTAATGTGATCCGTGGGCAAAGGTTTAAAAATGTGTTTGTGTTTAAAATTCCATAACTCGAACAGTACATGAGTGATTTGAATGTTTCTTTCAGTAAAATGAAAGCTTATTAATTGGGCTTTTATATCCTAGATCTGGAAAGCGATACATCTTGCAGACCTTCCTTAAAAATAGGGGCGCCACGTGGGTTGCCTTTTTTATCCACCCTGTATATTGATAAGAATATAGCAATTGAAAAAAAAAAAACAATGTATTTTTCGAGGTGAAAACTCGAGGTGAAACTCGAAAAATAGCATAGGGATTCATCTTTAATATTCTGATTTTGATTATTATTATTATTTAATGGGCAGAAAGAAGACAACATTGAAGGGATTGTAACAGAGTTCCGAGTCAATAAAGGGTTCTTTTCCGACACATTTGCTGAATACAGGGTCAATGTACAATAATTGTACGAACCAGAAGATGAAGGCCAGCACGTCTCCTATACATTCCATTCTTTAGGAGCATCGAAGTGAGCGTATCGCGGTTCTCCCGATACGGATGATTCCAGAGCATAAACAAACTCCTCGTAGCCCGCTGCACCAATCTTATCCACAATCACGCGAGCGCTATTCCTGTCGCTGTCGATCTTGAGGATGGCCCATTGAAGATGCGCGGTGTAGGTATGCCTCATAGATCAAATTTCAGTCTGCGTCGGAAAGACGGATTCTGTGTTGTCTTTTAGAAGTTATACCGCGTCTTACAACTAAACTTTTTAACTTGACTTAGACATAAATAATTGTAATGTGACAATGAATGTGTTTGATTTTTGTTAATAACACTTAGCATGTTTTTATGCAGATTTAAATTGGTTACAATGAGATTTTTGTGTAGATTCGTATATCCTCTTTTGTTGTGTTCTCTATACGTTTTTCATTATTTGTATGTTTTAGCTTTATTTAAATTAAAAGTTGTCTTTTTCGACAATGATAATTCTTATATGTTTTCGATATATTTATACTTTATGCACTTTTGGGAAAACGACTTTTACTTTCACAATTTTTTTTTTAATTGTAAAGAAATAATTGAAATGTTTGAATTATAGTGAATTGAAGCTTGGGACCTGATTTAACAGGTTCTTTATGTGATTTGCATTTCATGCGGCACCAGTCTATAATCGTGACTTTTGCTCAAAAGTTGATGTCTTTTTCCCCACTGCTAAACAAAAAAGACGTTTAAATAATTGCTAGTAAACTCAATTAACCACTTGTAACCATGCGGGCTGGAAGTATTTAAAGCAGTGACTGAGCAGTTTTGTGCACTGCCGATAGCAATGCGATTTCAATTGTGTTTCTTTTTTACTTGTAAGCTTATCAAAAGGTTGAGTGTAAATACTGAATACGGTCAGACAGAGCTGGTGTACAATGGCAGTGAACCTTGAGTTAATTCACGTCTGCACAAACGCTTTGTTGGTTTCGCAGTCTGCCGATCAAACACCTCGGTACACACATGCGGTGGTGTTCATATTTTTGGCGAATGGCGAAGCAATAATGGTGCACGTACGAGGAATACTGCTAGCGTTTGTGGTGGCGGTGGTTGCAGTGGCGACCTATATAGTGCTCGAGCCTATCCCTGAGGGTGTAGACAGCCCATGCACGCTGAAAATTGTTTCGAATTTTCTGATATTGGTAAGTATGCACTAGCATCGTAGGTTTTGACACTAGTCTTGTGAGACTGGCCATAAACCATTCATGATGAGGCCCATGCACATTTTAGACCTGCTCCAAATCTACATGAACATTTTCTGCAATGTCTTTATTATTTCCAGGCGCGGTTCTAGAACCAATATTTTTGGGGGGCTAGCACGGTGGATCCAGAATTTTTTCCAGACACTTTTGCCTCCGAAAATCAATAGGTGGGTGGGGGGGGGGGGGGGGGGGGTGGGACCAAAAGAGACCAAAGACAAGTTCTTGTAAACCAAGTTAAAGCAGGACTGTTCTTATCAGAACTAAAACCACTTAGCGAAATTTGATATCAGCAGGACAAGTTCTTATCAGAACTAAACTATATATTTACTGGGCGACATATTGATTACCACATGATGTGCCGCAAACCGAAACGATACTGATATACTCCACCACTGATGCAAAACCTAAAATCTTATATTTTATAGCATTACTGGCCTTCCCTTGTCTTCGGTTATGATCGAGTGGGTAATGGGTTTACATCACGCCAGTTGTTCTTTTTTCATTGGATTAAAATGTGCAAAAAGAAAAAGTGGATCAGAGACTGGCCATATGTTATTTCTTGGTTATTTTGTTAGTCTCCTTATGGTATGAAGGCCCTACCGACTGGGCTCGTCGACTGGCTGGATGAGCGATTCAGGGCGCACTCCCGGGCGAGCGAGCCGCGAGTACCGTACAGAGACGCGGTGTTTGACCGGGTACCAGTCCGGATATTTGCCGATGAGCCCGCGGGAGAGAAGACCGATAAACGGCCGGCCATCGTCTTCTACCACGGCGGAGGTTTTGTAAGTAGTAGCGTAGGTAAGATCCCAACTTTCATTGTATATATTAATATTCGTTAAACATGTATTTTACTCGGTTTATAATAACACCACTCAAAATCCAACTATATGTTCGAAACCATATTAAGCTGTTGTAGTGTTAGCTGGGAGGATATTCACTAACTTCAAGAAAACAGTGACAAACCATGCACAATCTTTAGATCACAAAAACACGATCTCGTGATTTTCGTCAATATCAAACTTTATTTCCAACTACCAGTCAATAAAATTGACTGATCGCTGGAAATTGTCTACGTTTCTTGATTTCTTCTTAACCACAGCAAGCCAGACAATTAAGTCTTGACCAAAATGTCGTGCAGATGTTATTTGCTGTCATCATCATTTGAATAATTGGGGATCATGTGGATATAATACTTGAACAGTAATAGGGAAACATATACTGTTTCAAAGATACGTGTTTGGGGGTAAAAAGCCTTTATGAGTGATATATAATTGGTGCAGGATATGTGAAATGTATATGGGACGCCCGTTTAATATATATATAAACGTTTACTCCGCCAGATATGCACCACTCGTTAACGGCGATGCTGGCACGGGAACTGAATGTCGTTGTGGTTTCTGTTGAGTAAGTTAACCATTTTTAACAGTGACTTTTCGTCAGAAAAAGTAACAAGTTTTGCTCCCTCCTCATCCAGAAATTGCCTCATCATGCTCAATGCATTATTGAAGTCACACACTCGATTTTGATGTAACTTGAATACTGTCAATGATATGCTTCTTTTATGCCTACAAGTGTAAGATTTTGTTTGATTTTTTTTTTTTAATAGTTACCGTTTGGCGCCAAAATATCCATTCCCCGCGGCAATAGATGACTGCACAGCAGCTACAGTCTGGTTCCTGAAGCACATTGGCGATTTCAACGTTGATCCTGGGAGAGTTGCCATCATGGGCGACAGCGCTGGGGGCAACCTGGCAGCAGCCACGGCACAACGGTTAACCTTTGACCCCGAGTACCGTGACCTGCCCAGACCCAAGTTGCAAGTCTTGATCGTTCCGTGCTTGCAGGCCTTTGACTTCCACACGCCTTCCTATCAGCAAAATGGAAAATACAATACACTCATATTGAGGAGAATAACTATGGCTACTTATTGGAATAAGTATCTCCTTGGTAACAAGGGTGACGTCACGGAGGCAATGCTGATCAATAATCACACCTCGGCTGCCGCCAAAAGCTCCCCGTTGGTCCAAAAATGCCTCTCGCGCGACCTCATCCCTGACGAGTTTAAGAGACCAGACTACAGAGCGCCCTCAAACGACTTCGGCGATGACGCCCTCTACGAGGAGATCAAAGACGTCCTCTTGGATCCAGACTACGCTCCTCTCATGCGAGAAGACCTGAGAGGACTCCCAGAGGCTTACATCCTGACCGCCGAGTATGACGTCTTGAGGGATGACGGCATCATGTACGCCAAGCGACTGGAGAAGGCGGGAGTGCCAGTCACTTGGAAACACTACAAGACGGGTTTTCACGCCTTGTTTGGCAATTTGATTCCCTCTGAAGTGGGCAAGCAAGGCGATAAGGATTTTCTGCAATTTGCACTGAAGAAACTGTAAGCGCACGAAGTTCAAAACCAGTAGGTGATATTGTTTGGGGCTTTTGTTTACTTTTTTTTTTATCAAGAAACGACAATCATATCAAAATAGAGAATATCTACCGATATTTTCGCGAATGCAAACAGTGCGGAACAGCTCGAGTTATGGTGTAACGATTCTGAATTTGCGCGAAGAAACTCTTGTTGCCTAAGTTAAAGGGTGAATGAAATAGAATTCTTTTTCTTATGCATGCAGTCCTAGAAAATGCACCTTTGTGCCCATTTCCATTTTATTCCAATCCCCATGTTGACTTTTTTTCCGACCCTGAGCGTCTTTGGCGTTTTTTGGGGTTTTTATGCTAATGCGAATTTCCAAATTCATTTAGCAAAAATGTGATGCCTTACGAGGCATTACTTCAGGGGTTTTTTTTGGTTTGCAACTTGAGCAGAAATCCACCAACACGGAGATTGAGCCCTGAAAAAAACGTAACAACAGTGCCCTCAAATGTCAGGATAAGTACGGGATATGTGAGCATTGTTAAAAATACATGCTCTTCACAATTATTTTTTTTTACTAAAAAATGATGTCGCAAAGTCTGAAAACAAATAAGAGCAATGAAGTCCTACACACAATATGTTCCAGTGTAAAATCAATCGCATTGCCCCTTTAACCAATAAAGAGAGATTTTGATTTATTGTTAATAAACTGATAAAAAAAATACATTTAATTATACATTTTCGAGAGTGCAAGCACTCTGGCGTATCTTGACGAAATTTTGTTTCGCATCTTGTCTTACGAAGCGCTTGATTTTTGATTGAATTTGTATTTTTTAAACGCATGCATTAGAAATGTACATACTTATTATCAATTTCCTTTGAGAGCTTTGCTAAATTTGACAAACAAAACCGTAATTTCGCTAATTAAACTTAAGAATAGTAAGTAGTGTCAGTTTTCGTCAGAGTTTGTTTATTCATGGTGGTTCAGTTAAATTAGGCTTGGAAACATTCTAAGTTAATGAACCGTAAGTTAAAAACAAAATACAGGAAAAGTTTATTAAGTGTTAATCGTGAGATTTCTTCTTTACAAATCTTTGTTTACATCGCTAATGGACAGATGTTGGCGCGCAGTGAACAGTGTTTATATAGCGCGCCCCCTTTTGGAAGAAACTGATGACGATAACATACGGAGTGTCCTAAAAATGCAACTTCCTTATAATATATTAAATTCAATCTTTCACGGTTCTTATCGATTTTCGAGATCTTAAAAGACCTTAATTTCAAATATTTAGTGAATTCTATAACTATTACGATGGCCCTCGTGCGCCAAGAAAACGGTTTTTTTCCCCAAATATTCTTTTACAATTATACAATTATCGATGCATAAGCGAATGCCACAGAACGAAGTTAACAATTGCGGCATTGATTGGAACAAATGCTTTAATAAACTTGAGCTATGGAAGTACATCTACATGTATTATCAAGTGACTACACTGATCAATCGAGCAAAACATTCGGTCGAAAGTAAAGAGACGACTCTTAATTGCCAAGTAATTATGCACGAATGCATAAGCATGCATGATGCATAAGTATGCATGAATGCATATGCATGTTGGCACTTCGCCAACCACAAGTTGGCAAAATATGGAAGGCCAACTTTGCAAACAATGAAGAGAAGATATTATTTTCAAAACAGATCATTACGTTCCTGAAAATATAATTACCAACAAAATGGTACAAAGTCTTAATAAAATGCCTGGAAAGAATTTCATGCCTGTACATCAATTAGTTCTCCCTGCAGTGACCAATTTAGCAATCAGAAAGCGATAACATGTCCTAAAAAGTCAAGCAGGGAAAGTATTGAAGCATTTACTGAGAAAACACTTTTTCAGACCAGTCTCACAGGATTTGTGAACAGTGTGTCAAGTGATGTCAAGGTATGGAACTCTTTCCAAATGCCTTTCTTACACAGGGTTTTTAATAAACAATTTTGGCAAAATCTGTTGCCAGCCACGACATAATGTTTGCCCTTGTGCTGTGGCAGCCCATGGCAAAATGGCGCTCCGTGTTTACAAACGAAATAATGGTCTATTGTTTAGCTCAATAAGGGTGACAGATATTCACATTATTGTTCAGTATTTGCATTCAGGTTACAAAAATCAAACTGGCTCCAATAGTTATTAGTCTGAGTTATTATTATTGATAGCCCATAGTTATTAGTCTGAGTATCAACCGTTGTCCCACGGAGCCTTCTCCCGTATCCAACGTCTGATACATCTGAGCAATGCAAATTTTATGCGACCCCGCGCGCCAGCCAATCGGTGTCGACTTTAGAAACTGTTTAGAAGTCATTTCGATCAGAAATGTGGACTGAAGCTGCTGATTGGTCAATTTGGCTGACATATTTAAACGGGTTACAGAAGACCCGATACAAGGCGCCCGCTGAATGGTCAGAATCTCGAGGTCAAGACGCAGTCATGTTTTGCATAATCAATCACCGCATATCATATACCCTTGCTGCGCAAGGGGATATTCCATAGACTACTAATTATAGGCGTGTCTGTTAAAAAACAACAACAAGGAAATAAAAATAAAAAAACAGTAACATTTGTGAATCAATGCAACACCTGCAGATACGTAAATAGCTCCTAATTAGACCCCTTGCATGGTACGGTACGCCCTCACCGATGCAAACTCAGTGACAATGAAAGTACATGTACAGTGTGTCTACCATGCACATATCACAGAGGAACGAACACCTGTCCTCACTATGGCGTCATAAGGGGAAGGTGAAAAAGGTGAAAGGAAATTAAATACTCCTCTCCTGCCAGCAAGAGCATCTAGTGGACTCATACTTCTCTAAATTTCCAGATAACATGTTTAAGTGTTTCAGCACATATTTTCTTTAAACAAATCTAAATCTACTGAACAGACATTTTTCATGTATGTCCAAAAACAGAAATTCCACTATCAGATGCAGAAACTCCAGCCTCGTTCCCTATGTGAAGCATAGCTCTGACACCACGGGGACAAGGTTGTGGAACCCAACATCCACGACAATGATGGAAATTCTACGACAAAATATGCAAACTTCCGAATGTGGAAGTTCCATTGCTACTACGTAACATTGTTACATTAATACAGAACATAACAGAACATTGACCGGATAAATGTAGGCCTTAGTGATTCAAACAGATTGTAAAAATAACTGATTCTTGATACGTAAATGTTCTTTGACCAAATACGAATATTTACAATCATTGACTCCATAGCTAGTCGAATAAGATTACCACTGCACTGGCCAAAGAAAATGATCAAGTAATATAACTTAAGGGGCCTATGCAATGTAATTATTTTAGTGCAACTCTTGACTATACACCTTTGTGTCCCACTTCACCTTATTTTCAATTTTCGTTTTGCCGCTTCAAGGGTATTTTGGTGACTTTTTATGCTAATGAAAATGTCCATATTCATGAGCAAAAGTATGATGTCATTTCAGGAAGAAACCTCAATGTTACAGCTCTTTCAGCACAAAAAAATTGCCAGAATTTTGAATATTTTGCTGCGAGTCGTAAATTTCCTTTCTTTGTTTTTCGTTGTTTCAGTACATGGCAGTAAGCCAATGAGCAAACTATTTTGCACAAAACAATGTGTTCAATGAGCAAATGTTTGAGTTCACATTTGAACAGAAAACCCCCTAGTCTGAACAGTGTCTTCCTGAAATGACGTCACAGCAACAGCGCCCTCAGCTGTCCGGAAACAACATGGAACAGACGTGCACTTTCAATGTAATTTGCCAAAAGGGGATGTCCAATGGCAAGTTTTCATACATTTAGGAGTAGACAGTTGCATGCAACATGTTCCCAAGTGAAATTCATACCATGGTTCCTTTAACATGATTTCCAATGCTTTCAAGTTCAACTGCTACTGACAACTAGATTTTCATTAACTTTTCATAATGATGGCTAAGTTCCAACAGCAACAAATACCTTTCTTATTCCTGCAGATCACGAAAATCAAAAATTAAATTAAAATCCGCTTTTCTCCACAAATCTGAGTAGTCAAAGAAACATCAAATCACTCTTCTTCACAAGAATTAAATCAAATTCATAAACTGCTAACAAAACGTAAGGTTAATTGCGACATACAAACTTTAAAAAAGTAACAAAAATATATTTAAAAATATGCCTCGTTGCATATCAATTGCATAATCAAAAAAAGAGAGTAAAACTACGTATGAACAAAGTAACAAAAAAACAAATGATAAGCATCTTCAACAAGTGACTCATCCAATGTCATACAGTAAATGTTTTTTAACCAATATTATTGCATCGTGTAAATTAATTGTAGATCGAGTACCAATTTTCTGGAAGAGCATAAGCATTAGCCTTGTTAGTACATCGTTTTACTTTTAGCAGCATCATTAAGTTTGCTGAGGAAGTAGTTTGTTTACAAAAACTAATTCAATCATAACTGATTCCACAATTTTTCCCCTGTAAATACATATTTTTTTTAAATGTGGGTGATTTTTTACATCTTAATCTCACAAGATGGGTTCAAATTCCTTCCAGGAACATGGTGTTTGTACCCTTGGGCAAGACACTTAACTACAATTGCCTCTATCCACCCAGGAGTATGAATGGGTACCTGTGAGGGTCGAGGACCGATTGAGCGCTGATATCGGCTGCCGCGTGGTCTCATGGCCTGATGAACGGGGTATTAAGTGTAAAACGCTTTGAGATCGTTGATACGATGGAAAGCGCTATATAAGCACCACGGTTGTTATTATTATTATTAATATTATTATTACCAAAAAAAAACTCTTTTTTTTGTTTAAAGTTGGCTAGAATGGTCTCGAAACTACCAAAAAAACTAGGATTCAACAATACAAAAAAGAGGTTCATGAGACAAGCTGAAGTCTAATTTCCTTCTAGGTTACACTACTGATTGAGATGTTCTCAATAATTATCAAAAATATCTGCTCTTCAAGATATATTTACATTTCTAGAGGTAATGGCAAGCAACACATTTTAAATATAAGTTCTAACTGATCAATACTGAGATTAGTTTCACAGTAGTTGTCATTATCAATAAAGTTACAGATTTTACAAAATGATAGTTGTTTAATTTTGTCCATAAGTTGATAATCATCCATAAACATGCATCCCCTCATTTATTCAACAAAAAAAAGGATATTATTTTCCCGAAAATTTTGGAGGGTATAGTTTACATTTCCTGATTTTAGTAGTTATACTTTTGTCCAGTGGTGTGCATTAACGGGTAGTTCAGTAACCGGGTACCCTATTGAAGTAAAACACGGGTATCCGGGTACCCGTAAAAGAAACCCAACCCTAAAATTCAAATCCCGGGAGTTACCCGAAGGGCATTATTCATGCGGCTTTACGGTGTAAGCTGCAACTTTCCCTAGCGTCATCTGTCGCGCCTTAAAATGCACATAAAACGTGAAATCTGTTTTTGTTCTCCATGTAGCGTGGTTTTCATTTTAAAAATTCTCCACAAATGACATTCCAAACCTCTTTTTTTATTGTCCGAGAAGTTACCAAGTAATTTGTAGAGTTGGCTACAGGTACCCGATCCCATGATCTGGAATCGCTTCCTGACATCAGCTGGTCGGGTACTCCGGTACCCGGCTCCGAGGCAAACCCCTACTTTGATCATTTTACAAAGCTTGGCACTGATCCAGCAATGCCAATGCTAAACAATATTAAATGTTCTTAGATCTACACTGATTGAAAGTCTGTAAAATTGATTCCAGTATTTATAATATCCGACAAAAAGTTGACTTTTTGTGACAGGCGTAATGAGGTGAATTGTGTAGGACTTTTTTTCTGTACAGAAGAGGGCTATAAATATTTATATTGCTACCATCTGATATTTGGCATGATGAACATACCCTTTTACATGTAGCATGTACTTATACAGGGCGATTCAGAACGATCTGGACCCAAGTTTATAGAGTATATGGAGAAACAAACTGGGTGTTTTATATGAATGGTTATTACCTTGTCTTCCACAGGAATTTCGAATTTTTTTAAGTGGCTGCGGTGAGGAGT